TTGGAAATGCCTTTCGTAACAAGCCAAGTCTCTCAACCATATAACAGCACTGACTTGACGTTGGTGTTGAAAATCCGTATCTCGTTCCGCATGCTGAGTGCAGAAGATCTCCACACTGGTTTCGGATTAATGACAGCCTGTCTTGCTGTCTTTCCGATCCTGGCTGGCTTTGACGTCCTCATCTGTGCCACCTGTAGTTGAAACAGTGCTGCCTAGATAGGTGAAAGAGGTTACTTCCTTTAAGTTTCTCCCGTTGACGGTGATTGGAGTTTGTTGTTGTTGGTGGTGCGGTATCTTCATCACTTGTCTTCTCTATATTCACTTGAAGTCCGTCTTCGCTGCCCTGCCTCTTCTGTCAACTTGCTAGTTTTCGCCTGTAAATCTTCAAGTATATGTGACATCAGGCATAAGTCATCGGCAAAATCCAAATCTTCTAGGATCTTCTCCTCTATCCAGCGTATACCCCTCGTCTTGTTCCCTACTGTTCGTTGCATGATCCAGTCCACTACAATCAGGAATATCACGGGTGATAGTAGACGGTAGCCTTGTCTTACTCCTGTCCAAACTTCAAAGGCATCACTCAGCTTCCCATTGTGAATTACTTGCATGTGGTGTCCTCAATATAGTTGATGAATGAGATTGATAAGGGTTTGTGGCACTAATACCGTAGTGTTCAGGCAGATGTCTGCCAAATTACTTGTCGGTCGATGCTGTCAAAAGCCTTTTCAAAGTAGACGAAGTTTAGGTAGAGTTGAGTTGACTGCCATTCTGTACTCTTCTCTACGATGATGCGTATTGTAGCGATGCAATTTGATTCGCTCATGATTAGTTCTTCCTGAATCCAGCCAACCAGCCAGCCAGCCAGCCAGCCAGCCAGCCAGCCAGCCTGTTGTGGTTGTATTTTGAATCCAGCACATTGTTTAGTCTCTCCAGTATGATGCGACTTAATATTTTGCTTGCTTCGGGTGGACAGAAGTGGAGCATGATTCCACGTCAGTTCTTGCAAACACTGAGGTCTCCCTTCTTCGGGAGTTTGACAAGGTGGCTCTCCTTCCAATCAATGGCCATGTACCATACCTTCCTTCCAGATTTTCTGCAATAGTGGTGTGAGCATGTCCGCTGTTTTCTCTGTGTCTGCTCTCAGTGCTTCTGGCGGGATTCCATCTGATCCTGCTGCTTTCCTGCACTTCAGTAGCTTTATGGAGCTCAGGACTCCGACTTTCGTTGGAGGATTTATATTCACTTATAGTTCTGTGGCTGGGCTGCAGGTATTGCTGGACGAAGTGCAGGTGGTGATCGATTCAAGAGCTTCTTGAAGTGGTCAGTCCATTGTTCCCTTTGTTTCTCTTCTTTGGTAATTAAATTTCCGTCATCATCTTTGATTGGTTTCATCTGTGTTGATCTCTTCCCTACCAGAGAGTAACCTGGTTATTTGATACAAAGTTATCAGGTCTCTATCTATCTCTCCTACCTGCAGCCTGTTCTGCTTCAATTGCCAGTGTATCGTAGAAGTGTCTTTTGTCTTTGTGTGCACTCTTGTTCACTTCTATGTCAAGTGCAGTGTTTTGTACATTGTGCTCAGTTCCTCTTCTCGTTGTACATCCTTGCACTGGTTTACATTCTGCTTCACCATCCTCCTCTCCCTGCTCTATCAGCTTCCATGTGTCCATCGAGATCCATTCCTCGTTTCATCTTCTTTCTTCTTCCTTCATAATACGGTTATGCAGGTTTCTTTCCACATCTCTTTCAAAGACTTCCAGTGTTCATCTACACAGGTTTCTTCAGGGATGTCCCTCGATATCTCCCATTTCGTCTTGATGGCTGACTGAAGTGAAGATTTCCTTTGTAGTTTCATCCTTCAGTTTCCGAGTGTTGTACTTGAACTGTGGTCTATCACCAGCTTCCTTGAAGGCTTTTAGCTTGATTTGGAAGGTTCCTTGCACTACGCAGTGAGTGGTGTGAACCTACATCTGCTCCCATTCTTGACCTTGTGTCAAGTAGGCTGACTGCGTCTCCACTTTGTACACATTAGGATAAAGTCGATCTGATTTTTAATGTGTCCTGGTGTCTGATGAAATCCACGTCGCTCGCTTTGTGGATATCCTTGTGTTTGAACACACTGCCTGACTCCAATCACCAAATCGTTGAATGCACAGAATTCTGCAAACAATTCTCCATTCTCGTTCATCACCTCACCTAACGCTTCTCGACCCATGGTTGGTTCTCTTCCTGTATTGTCCTCTCCTAGTTTGGCATTCATGTCACCTATTAGAATTTTGATATCGCCAACTGACGTCTTGTCCAGTGTTGATTGAAGTTGTCTGTAGAATTCATCCTTTTTCTCTTGCTCTGCATTATTTGTAGGTGCATAGCATTGTATGATTGTGACTTTCCTTCCTTTTGAGTTGAACCTTGCTGTCATGATCCTGGTCGTTGTGGAGATTGGTTCCCACTGCATGAGAGCCTTCGATGCTCTTGGGAGGGGACATCATGATAGCCAGTCCATGACTCAGTGTGCTCGTGGTTGTCGCTTGGGCGACAATATCGGAGTAGATTATTGATTCTCCAGTTTACAGTCTGGACAGTCCACCCCCATTCCATCTGCTTTCGCAAATTCCAAGCACTTCAGTGTGATACCTCTTCATCTCGTTTGCAATCTTGGCTTCCTTGCTGGGTTCAAACATTGTGCGGACATTCCATGTCCCCACGTTTACTCTCGCTTTCATCGAGAGAGAGAAGATACATCGGCCAATTGGCTTCTCGAAGGCTTTCACCAACTGGCGTCATTTCGCCTCTCCGATTCCAGCGAGGAATAATTTTGTTTTGATTTTTTTATATTTTGTTTGTGCTTTGAAGTTTGTTTAGCGGTTAGATTTGTTTTACGGGGTAGGGTTGCTAGCCGTATGCCCAACTTTCCCTCTTTACTCGGGCTTAGAACCGGCTAGTGATTAGTGAACTAGTTAACCAGGCGAGGTTGGTTCGGGGAATGGGTTTGGATAATATCATGTCCAAGTTCCTTGTGTCCGTAGTAATTCGGTGTCTACCTGGAGCTCAAGAACAGCAAACTTGAGAAAATTAACCAGTTTTCAGACCTGGACGACGATGTATTGGTCATATTTTCACCCTTCCTCAAGCCCTGGAACAAAGGCATACTTACAGGTGGCTGACACTAACCATACTTCCTGACCTGAATGCGATATTTGACTCAGTTGCCCGTGAAGTGTTCTAACACTCTCTGACTGTGAATAAAGTACCGAGCAGATGCATAGCTATAATCAAAGCTCTCTACTCAAAAAGCTGTGTAAGGGCTCATAGAAAGCTGTCATTAGAACTGAAGGCAATCAGTAGTGCTTTTTAAGGGGTTCTCACCGTCCCTGTTCCTATTTAACTCTATACAGTTACATAAATGTACTAATGGACATAACCTTAGCTATGTCTGACTTCAAAGGGATTGATCTACTCCCTAAAGTTTATCTCGTTGATTTGGAGCATGCAGATAATATTGTCATCCTGGGTGAAGATCCTGACAAAATGTAGGGTCTTCTGAACGTGTTGAGCGAAAATTTGAGTATGTTTGGCATGCCTCTCTCTGACACCTGTGAAATTTAAGATGATGCTCCAGGATTGGTTTGCTGCTTGAACTCTTAGTTCAGTAACAGGGAGTGCAGTCATGGAATGAATCGACCACTTTACTCAATTATGGAGTTGAATCAGACCAAGTGAGATGGTTGCTGACAAATCTCACTTCATTCTGTCCTGTCATGTAGCTGTGACATGGGCATTAAAAACAGAAGACATGAAACGGTTCTAGGTTTTCGATCACAGGTGTGTTTGTAACATGAATAGCGAATGGTCAGTGTTGAGGTCAGGTGTATGGTACTAGGTAAGACAGGCAACTCGATTGATGAGGTTTTGAACCCTTGTCTACTGAAATGGCTTGGGCATGTACTGCCTATCTCGAGCCACCACCTACCTCGACATGACATGCATGAAGAAGCTGGATTAAGTTGGAAGATGGTTTAGATTGGTTAGACTAAGACCTGGCACCAGTCGATGAAGACTCCTGCTGTTGGTCTGAATCGTGTGGGAGATGTAGACAACCTGGCTGGGGCCTCTGAGACTCCTAGAACCAGTGGTTGAAGACTCTCTTGACACGGCTGAAGATTGGTCACAGTGCTTGTTCTCTAACTCAACGTTTTCTACTTTGATATCACTCTTACTCTGTCCACCTCTTCTTCGTATACTACTAAGATGTGCAGCAACTTGTACCAATGCACTTATATGCGAGGTTCTATGTTGACTCCATCCGTCTGTCCACACTGCAAAATGATCGATAGTATTTGGTCAGCAATCAGGACTATACAGCGTGATATTATTTACTCCCCGGTGACTAATTAATGAATAAAATTCTATCCATTTTCATTAGTTCTTCTCCTCAGCATTTTTGCGAAAACAACGTCGACGCCACTCTATGTTAAGAATGTATCACAAACATTATTCTGTCCAACAGTTAAATATAGGCGATATGCAAAGTGAATATTGTTGCTCAGAAACCAAAACCAAAGAATTTGATGATGAAAAATACCCGACTGTTAACAAGGTAGTTGATTTGTGGTACGAGATCTTAACAGAAAATCAGAACAAAGACCTTCTCGAACAGAAAGGTTACAGGCTGGAATTCATTACAGCCTGACTGCAGTCGAAAACCATGGAGAAATCGTCACCCGCTTCGTCTCACAATATGACCCTTCATCAGTGCACATCCAGGGCCAGTACTAAGCCTTGTTTAATTATGTAGGAGCTATTTCATAAAGTGTAAGCCATAGATCTTTTAGCACTTTAGAATTACATCTGCATTCATTAAGTTTCTTTTTCATAAATGTGCTTGCTAAAGCATCGTGCATTGCTGACAGAAAAACTTATTCATTTGAATTGCATATAATTGTGATGATATTTTCTAACCATCAGATGCCATTTATCTGTCACTGTTTATATTATAGATGCACGGGTACCATCTTTACCAAAATCAAATCGTACGGTGAAGCTTGTTGCATACATACAAGCGACAACATTTGCGTCAACCAGGGCTATAATTGGATTTCGAATCAATTATTCATCAGCCAGTCCCATTTTCAAGGAAATTGAAGTACCTATCATTGCTGATTATAGGGATTTTAAAAATGTAAGATTATTAACACAGATTGAAAGTAATACCAACTGAAGTCCATTGGACAACTTAATTTCCATCATCTGTATGACTAGTATTCTAATGTTGTGAAGAGCATAAAAAACTTTGTTTGAAATGTACTCTCATTTGATGCATAATCTTATAAAATTACTCTGTAGAAGCACAATGAAATTTTTCATATCCCAACTATTTTTATAGTGTGAAAACCCTTATTCGAACATTTAGAAAACAAGAAGTGAACGTAGAAATGTTTTTTTCCCATCTAGCTCCTTGTCATGAGTACGCATTTGTGTACAAGACTTGATAGAATCCTGTATACGATACTTTTCTGACTGCATTGAAGCAATCAACATATCTTCTAATGAATTTAAGCTTATATGGAGGCAATAAATTAGAATAGAAATTAAGCTATTAATTATTTTACAAAATAATTGCGTTGACCTAAATTATTGACACTAAGGTAGGCTGAAATATGTATGAAAGTTTGTAGATGCATAATTAGTAAGACAAATTACTGAAGAAATCGCTGAGCAGACCAGTGTTCTGTAGCTTGTGAGTTCAAGGTACACTTTGTGATGAATAGAATTGCTAACAGAATAAAATTTGTACAGGTAATCTTGTTTTGAAATTGTTCTGATGTCTTCTATCAAAATGTTACACTACTACTTCTGATATTATATCACCATTATGTGATACGGTTTGTGCTTAGTTTAACTTAGGTTGGTTGTGCTTAATGCTTTGCTGCTTTTTTCAAGACCCAAAAATGATATCTGACAGAGGATTACTGATTCTCAAATTTGACTTACGTTTATAGGTTGAAATAATAAATAATAAACACTTACAGTGGAACGATAATTGAAATACTAATACATTTTCCATTTTATCTTGTTTTATAAACTTCAGGATCGAAATTTGACCTGACAGAGTCGAATAAGCTGAGTAAATGGATTATAAATGAAATATATTTGTAAAATCCCAATGAAGTAGAAAAATAAATTTCTGACGTTTTTGAGACTTCGTTGAAATAGTTTCTTTAGAGAATAAAACCTAAGTTATCGTCTGTACAAAGTAACTTTATCTTGCGTTTCATCTTCATGTTTATAAATATGTTGCAACTGTATTTTAGGTTATGGTGGTTTAATCATAGCTGTATCTGTAAGGCTATGTATAACAATATATCAAATACATAACATCATTTCTACTTAAACTAATTTTTGATAGCTATCGAACAATAACTTTTTAATTCATTATTTTTGCTTGTGTATTATATATTCTTATAGATTTGGAATCCATCCTTCAACTTTTCACTGGTCTCAAAAGCAACTGAAGTTGAAAAGTTTTTTGAAGTTGAATTCATTCTAACCGCTCCTCCAGCATCTAGACAACTTTACGCAGTAGAATTAGGTATTGGACGTGTTATTTTGGGTGAGATATGTCACTGCAGTATCACTAAAGTTGGAACAGGAATCAATACCCGAATACCAGGAGTGAGTTTTTAACACCTTCTTCACTGAAGTGTTTTGTAAGAAGTTTGTTATTTGATTCTTTTAGAAAAGCTTCCACTTCAGCAGAAATATTTATCACCAGTTAAATACGAAATCATAATGATCTGTTACTTGGCATTGCGAGAAAGAATTTATTCGACTACAAGAAAGGCTAGTCGTTCATATCTAGGAACTCATTTTAAAGGGCTGAATCAACATAGTTTGTTTTTGCATATAAGAAAATGCTAATCATTTAGAATAAGCTGACCGATGACTTCTCAACAGTCGGTTTCCAATCTGTGGATGTTCTATATTAGTCTGCGAACAGAATGAATTTTGGATAAGTGAATTCTGATAACATATAGTTACCTTCTTTGTCAAAGAATAAAATAAACTCAGAAGGTTGAGCCAGATGTATGACAAGATTAGTATGCAAGACACTTACATGCAGGGTTTTTTGTGCTATTCCTGCTTTCTTGCTTTGCGTTGACGATTAGGTTTTCGCTCCTGGGCGTGTAATCAATATTTAGTGTATAACTGAGAACAATTTAGCGCTCATGTCCCTATCGATAACCAGATATCGTCATTCAGCCACGTAAATATTCCCTTTGTTCAGAGAAAATCATCAATGATTTTTGAATTTTTTCCTTTGAACCTGGGAATGTATAACTAATATTTATGGTGGCTTGGTTAGTCTCTACTTACATAGCGTCACATAATGCCCCACTATCCTGACTGACATATAAATTAGGTTTAACCCTCAGTACATGGTGTTTGATAGATAGGGCTATTTTGCTCCGATAAATCTACTGGGTCTTTTATCCTACAAAGTTCCTCTCTAAGTGCATGAGTTTAAATCCCATCCTAATCCCATTGTTGTTAAGATTTTACATAAAATGTCCAATGTGTTTTCTTTGTATAGCTGCACTACAGATGATCTGAATCCCCTCTTAGACCTCATGTTAATACTACACATTTTGTGGCTCTCTCTTTTATAGTCCTTAGAAGCTTTTAATGATATCCGGAGGGCAGTTCTTGAGTGTGTTTGAATTCCTAATTAAGCTTTTTTGACTGACTAGTCAGACTCTTACCTCGATTACTCAAACATTTTGAATGGCCGCAATCCAGATATGAAAGCTTCCAGATCGGTTTGAGTACTCTATAACTACTCATGTCACCCAGTGAGATATTTTTTAAAATTTCATGCTCACAATCTGGATGCTAGCTGTATTGTCGAGCAGATCCCATAGTGTGAACTCAATATATTGGTTTCCTTAATGAACAATAAAGAGATTCCTCACGGACTATGTAATTTACAAACATCTGATTTAATCGTGTGTACCATTTCACTAAAGTAGGTTGGCGGAATTTGAGTGGTTTGAACGATTCGGCTATAGGAGCTGAAACAGCCCCGGTACACTAGAGTTGAGCTCAGCCCATCATGAGCAAAGCGGCCGTACACTGTTTAGATCATCTTGATTAAGACAACGAGCACTGCTGATTGGTTTAAGTAGTCTGCAAACAATCACGTCACTCAGTATTATATTTCTTACAGCTTTAAATTGTGCATATAACTGCTGAAGCCAAGGATAAAGTTACTGAATATTCCTTGACTATCCCTTCAGTTTTAATAACTTATAAACTAAACTCTGTATCTTTCAAAATATCATTATACATCGCTGGAAAGCTGTTTTGTAAATCACAAAAAATGACAATTTTTACATCAAACAGATGAGATTACATACGGAATATGGCCTACAAAAACTGACGATGCTTCGAACATTCGCAACAGTTCACATTGGAGTACTGGAAAACCCGACAACTAATAATAATAACGATTATTATATAATCTTCAAAGTGGTTGTGAAAGCGCGTACAGACCCAGCTTATCCAAAATTCACTGCAACTCAAATGGACACCCGACTTCTTATTATGAAAACACCGCAGGAACAACGGTCAGTTACGTTTTCCATCATTGATGCAGCTATATCACCAATTACGGTAAGATCTTGCATCCTTACTAAATCAGATGTCAAATTCTTTATGCGAAATCGTAAAATTTTAAATATTATTAGATTTATACTGGTACTGTCTAAGTTAGTCGTGGTCTGGAAGACTAGTTTATTGATACCTGGTGATGAATGAAGGTGAAGGCGGTGGTCTCTTGGTTAACAATCTGGTGATTGTCTACTAGCTGAACTACAAGAAAGATTCAGAAATAATACCTAACTCAAACAAATAACATTAACATAACATCCGAGTCAAAGTGAGCACTGTGGTAAAGTGTAATTCCATACTAAGTTGTTGATTGCATATATATATATATATATATATATATATATATATATATATATATATATGCACTTGGTTTCTTAGTATATGTAAATCAAATAACACAAGTTTTAATAACAATACTGTGATAACGTGGAAGGCTGAATCTGCATCACATAGTGGAACCAAAGTGCTCATAAATAATTGTAGGATCTCACTCTTAGTCAATATAGTACCTAGCCATCATATTCCGTAAAACTACCGTGATTCATCATCATCGTCATCCATACTGTATAGCACTTCGAACCTTTTAATCAATAAGATTTGTAACTGGTCCGTCATTCACAAAATATGTGACCTTCTGTAAAATAACATACGTTCCAAGTTGGTAGAAAGCAAATAATACTCTTGAAGACCCACAACACCATAGGGTTACAGAAACTCAGAATTTGTAATTGTACATATTTTTCATTATCTGATTAACTGAACCAAAAAACATTTGTGTTGCTGAATTGAAACGTGACCATTAAAATAATTTTTTTAAAACACAAAGAGACGAGAAAATTAAGATCATATAAAGGATATCTCAAAGTTGTGTAGTTATCTTAATATGACTATGGACAATAAATTATGTCCGAAACGTAATCCAGTAAACAATACTGTTACACTGTGATAAATCTAATAAATCATTAAAAATAGAAAACACTATCTGAACTAAACGCTCATCGAAAAAGCCAACCACCAAAGGATTCCTTTAGGACTTATCAATATTTTAATCCAAGGTAATAAAAATGCAGGGGATGGCTTTTAACTTGTTAGTAACTTCATATTACATAAGATGCACATGAAATGATGAATCCTTTCACTGCCATATATATATATATAAAGTAGGAAGAGATACAGGTGGTCATCGGAAGGCGTGTGCCCCCATCTTCTGTAGCTTAAGTATGGATTTAACGATATGCAGTGTTCAAATCACCTTCCCTATATACTGCCTTCACAATGCTCGCGTGTTTAAGGCTGAATTCAGTGAGAGGTGTTATTATTTGGTGAAGAATATTCTCTTAAGACTATTTGTTGTATCGTAGTACCTATCAATAAATGACGAATGCTGTAAACACAAAGTGCAATTAAAAATGTTAGAATGGTTTATTTCCCAGAAGTTTTTGTCAGTCTGAATGTCTGAAATATCCGTGGTTTCACAGAGTTGTATTATTGATACTAAGTGGTAACTGAAGATGAAATGGAAATCTGGGTCATGGCAGAATTCGTAAAAGCGGCCTCAAGGATTTCACTCCATGATGTTTAGAGTGGAATTAATTGTTATCTATCATATCAGTAATCTGATGTGATATGATTATTAGTAGTAAATTTTGCTGAAAATCCCATCTAGGAAATAATAATGTACTACGTTTTTTTGACCTCTCCTGGTTAGCTAGTTCACTAGTTACTAGCCGATCCTAAGCCCGGATAAAAAGGAAAGGTTGGGCGTAGGGCTAGCAACCCTTACCCCGTAAAACCAAACCAATCGCTAAAAAGGCTTCAAAGCACAAAGAAATTATAAAAAATAAAAACAAACTTATTCCTCGCTAGAATCGGAGAGATGAGATGACGCTGGTTGGTGAAGCCTATCGGAAAGCCAATTGGCCGATGTGTCTTATCTCAATGAAAGCGAAATTAAGGATGGGGACATAGAATGTCCGCACCATATATCAACTTCATAAAACTCTTGAATCGACCACCACCTGCAATTCGCCCAGAGATAACACCAGCAACGGCAGAACTACCAGTGAACACAAGCCCTCCGACAAAAGCGGAAGTCCTGAATGCTATAAAACTGCTGAAATCCGGGAAAGCGGTAGGACCAGATGGTATTCCACCAGAAACACTGAAAACAGATGGAGAGACAACAGCGGACATGCTCACATTACTACTGTAGAAGGTTTGGAAGGAAGGAAACCTACCAGCCGACTGACTAGAAGAGTGGCTACCTTGTCTAATTCTCAAAGAAGGGCGACCTAAGTCTTTGCAAGAACTGGCGCCGAATCATGCTTCATCCCTGTCCACCCGAAGCAAGCAAAATATTAAGTCACATCATACTGGAGAGACTAAAAATGCTCTAGGTTCAAAATTACGACCGGAACTGGCTAGCTGGCTTTAGGAAGAACAAATCATGTGCGAATCAAATTACAACGCTAAGCTACGCATCATCATAGAACAGAGTATAGAATGGCAATCAACTGTATACCTCATCTCAACTTCATCGATTTTGAAATGGCTTTTGACAGCGTCAACCGAGAGGTAATTTGGCAGTAGCTTCAACAACATGAAGTACTACAAACCCTTATCAACCTCATTCAACAGCTATACAAAAACGACACATGCCAAGTAATTCACAGCAGAAAGTTCAGTGACGCCTTTGAGGTGAAGACAAAGTTGACTACTATCACCCATGATCTCCCTGATTTTGGTCGACTGGATCAAGCAGCAAACCATAAGGAGCGAGAAGACGGGCATATGCTGTTTAGTCGATGAAAAGACCATAGAAGATTTGGATTTTGCCGATGATGTATTATGTCTAATGTCTTGTAGCACAAACTTGAAGATCTACAGGCAAAAACCAACAACTTGACAGACGAGGCAGCGAAGATGTGACTTTCCTTAGGTGAACGTAGAGAAGACTGAGGTGATGAAGATACCCAACCAACAACAACAAACTCCAATCACCATCAACGGAAGAAACTTAAAGGAAGTAACCTCTTTAACCTATCTAGGCATCACTGTTTCAACTACAGGTGGCACAGATGAGGACGTCAAAGCCAGCCAGGATCGGAAAGACAGCAAGACAGGCGTTCATTAGCCTGAAACCAGTACAGAGATCTTCTGCACTCAGCATATGGAACAGGATCCAGATTTTCAACACCAACGTCAAGTCAGTGCTGTTATATGGTTGAGAGACTTGGCTTGTTACGAAAGGGATTTCCAACAGACTACAGACATTCATCAACAACCGCCTACGCCCACTCGTTACTGAAGATCAGATGGCCAGAATAATAATAATAATAATAATAATAAGCAACAAGGAACTCTGGCTGCCTGGCAACGAACCAATCAAGAACCTATCGCTCAGGAAATATGCACTGGAAGGAAGTTGAGATGGAATGGATTGGTCATACACTGAGTAGGCCGACTGGGGACATCACGCGCCAGGCCAGGCCCTCGAGCGGGTCCCAAAGGGGAAACGATGAGTTGGGCGTCCGAGGGTGACATGGAGAAGACCATGTGGGGAAGAAATAAAAGCTTGTGGGCAGTCGTGGAGCTAGGTTGAAAACACTGCCGAGAACAGAGTGCAATGGCGACGTGCTACTGAAGCCCTATGTTCCACTAGGAACTCAAGGGAAATAATGATAATAATATTATTTGAATTAAATTAACCAGATACGGAAATATTCTTCACCTTACCCTAAATATGTGTCTCTGGCTTGACTGAGTCTTATTATATTAACTTCTTTTATATTGATAATTCAGACTTCCTTTCTGACCTTCAAAATATTATCTGAAACCTGAAAACCATTCAGATAGAGACCAGATCGAGACTTCTTGATAATTATTTACCCATTTAGGTTGTGTGGAAATAGTAAAAATCTTATGAAGTAAAGTAACGTTGTCTTATTTCGCAAATACTGATCTTACTACACCGTTCAAGCTCACCAAAAGGAAAAAACAAATTGAGAAATATGTTGAATTAGGAATGATTTATTTGAGCCTACAAACAGTATTTATTATATTAAGAACTAGATGTCTTTTGGAATATACCCCATGGAAAGTTGAATGCCCTAATTTAACATTTTTAAACAGTGAGTGAAAGAGCTCATCTTAATATATACTGTTTTGGCAAATGAACAGCAACAGATGGAGAAGAATCTAGAGGTTATGTTTTGTAGGTACCGGGAAAGCATTTAAATTCAAACACCTTGCTGAAGATTTTGGGTAAATATCTTCTCTTTCCAAATAAGATTTCAAGTACCACTAATAAATAGTTCATCTATCCTGGAATTCACTTAGTTTACGCATAGATTTAATCTAAAATAACAAATAGAAACGACGAGATTCCGTGACAGAAAATTGTCCAACAAAAGGTCATAGAGCTTAAAGAATTCAAGACGGGAATAGAAATAAATTCTGCAAAACCATGAAGTTTAAATTCCATAAATCTCATCAGTTATAATTTTTTTGCCATATATGTCACTATTTTCGCCTTTTCTTCGCAAAATTTGGGGTTATATTGAAATAAAATACTAAACGATTAACCCTATCCAGTAAGTCAGCGAGATGAAATGTGGTTTTTACATTATACGCTTATTTGAGCAAAACAAAAATTGGTAAGATATTTTCCAATTTGTATTCAGGATTTCTATGAAAGGCAATATGTTTATACCTTCAAAGATTCAAAGCACTGCTGTAAAGTTTGCCCTATTCTGTATACTTTAATAACTTCAGAGCGAAAACATGTTCATTAAATAACTATACAAAAAATAAAAATCCATCTTGAATTTTGATCATTCTAAAACTAATAACTATTAGACTGGATACATTTTCTAGACATCTTCTCTGTGTCTACAGCAATGAGTCGATCAACATTCCTATGAAATATGTAGTTTAAGGCACACAGAAATCTTTCGTTGGAACAGAACAGACTGAATAGAATGAGGTTGGACTGAAAACGAATAAATAATTTTGCTTCTTCATTAATATACAGAGTACCCACTGAATAATCTACCACAAGGCTGGCAACTATACCTAACATATATGTCGTAAGTCTTAGAAATTAAGAAGAGGAAGTGGGTTTTATATGTACAATATGAATACGTTTAACTTCTGTGTCTACCTGAGGCTAGTATAGGGTTAATGCGCATTTTAAATGGTATGGTGAACATTAGCGACACCTTTCAATTTAATTCCTTATTAGATCCATCTATTCGATTTCGAACACAGTGATACAGCAATATTTACTAGATGATATCTTGAGCGGAACCAATCGCGTATATTCATATCAAGGTAATTATACGGCTTCCTGTCTTGATTTTGTAAAGTTCTTCGACCTTTTCATTCTTTGGTTTGTCTGATGCTTGAATTTTCCATATACCTGGAATCGATGTTAAGTCGCTCTTATTACACGTATTAAGCACTGAATTGGCGAATAGATATTCATTGGTCAACCTCCAACTATGTGGCTGTGTTATGGCATTTGTCACGAAGGATGAATACTTCAGTAGATTACTCATCTTAGCAGGGTCTATCAATCTAGACCCAGATGTTTTCCCATATTCTGCTAATCTGGCTTGGTTTGATAAGCTAGTTTGACTTATTTGCTGACAATTGGTAAATTAAACTATTTTACGTAATTGGAACAATAGAATCTTCAGGCCGACAAAATTTATTCTCAAGTGAATCTGTAGGCTAGAGTGCCACCTTAAACCCAGCTTTATTCTTCCTTTATGTGCCAACTCTATAGAGGACTTGACATCCTTATAAGTCTTATTTTACCATTTGTTATACAAATAGCTTTCCTTTTCTGATAAACCCTTTTAAACTGCTCAATAAATTGTAGAGGATAGTCATTGAGAAGTGATGTTTCCACTGTTTCAATGAACTGTTTGATTTAATGAATAAACTCCCAGCTGGATTACTTAAAAAGTTAGTTCATTCTAACAGTAATGACTCAGGGTAAGTGAAACTTTCTATTGGAATTAGATGATTCTCAGTAGACACGTAAATAAACCACCGTCTTGTTTCTGCCTCATTTTACAATTTAAAGTATCTAATTCTCCCTTTTCATCTTCTAACTCGATGGTAAAGCAAAACCACCTAGTTTGAGTGTTCAGATTCGCTACAGTAAATTCCTTGTCAATAAATCTCAGCCATACTTTGGAGGCAAGATCAGGTGTTCTGAGAGTCATACGTTCTCATAGCCTTTTCTTTTTATCACTAAAACATTTGGCCTACACGGTATAATTATTTCGTTATTGTCATAGCTGCAATTACTTAGCTAGATTCCATCTGTCCGTGATATCTTCCGTCTCAGCGATAATTCTCCACATAAACTGCCTATTCACTGTTTCATTCACGGTTTCCTAACTGCAGAACCTAGGGAGAAGTTTACGGAAACATAGGTTCGGTCGAAAAATAGCTGTTGTGAGCACGTATTATTTAGATAAAGTTGGTATTTTACTGTTGACCTAATCCTATCAATTCCCTTAAGTATGACTGAGACAGATATATAACAAAATTATTACCATCGATTCTTTTTCACAATGTTAACAAACACAGCTTATCTTACCAGTAATTTTGTTGAGCAAGATAATGTGAACTTTTGGTCTATCACTAAAAGCTGATGATTTATTTAATACTGGTTTCTGCGTATTTAGGCACTTACTTCACCGGTGATTAGTTTATTCAAATCTGAACCCCCACAAAGTGAACCAATGGTTACCTACTACACAATTCTACATGCCGAAATCCTTTGGATGAACAAGTTGTCTACAGTCCTATCAGAATATTACTTACGATTGAAGGTTCTGCGTCACGAGTAATGGAACAAAAATTCGTTTCCATTGGAAGGTCATTAGTCACTGTAGTTCCTATCAATGCTAACATGTCAATTATAAAGTGAGTTATACCTTTTTTGAACATTTTAATTCCCGATCCTTTAGATAGTTAAAAATATTCTTATAACACTTCATGACTTAGTGGGAATACTGAGTGAAGTTACCAAACTACTATTTAAATACTAAGAAATTGGATGACGGAACTTGTGGTAAAGACAGTAATCAACAAGAAGCTGCTGTGGTCTGCTGCTAAAAGAAAAATACGTAACAAGAACATGTACCGTTATCATATACAAGTAGAAAAATTATCCCATACATGACCAAATGTTATGTTACCAGTTGTGTTACCAAAACTCGACCATGAATTTTGAACCATATTTCCGTTAGTTTGGCTTTTAAAAAGGCGGTGTACTATCGATACGTCGCAGTAATTTTACTATCAAAGTATCCGTTTTTGCTACCTACTTATTACACATCTTAAGACAGTTGACTGTTTTTAAAATATTTCGAGTATATATTAAATCTTACAAAAAATCTCACCGAATACTCATTGTGAAAATAGCAGGATTTTGCGTAGTTGTTTCTTATAATGTGCTTGAGTAAGACTAATAATTTCTTCCCGTACGTCTGATAGTTACTAAAACTGACTCAAGTACTATCATGATTCTGAAATAATGAAATAGTTTGTATTTTATACCACAAAAGCATTACCTTTTTTGCTGGAAGTAATATTGAATATTTTTCTCATTGTTTCTTTGATATGTTAACACGAGCAATCGAAATGATCACAGCATTTGGTAAACAAATGTGATCTACGTAGGACTCCTAAACTGTCACTACCACGCTACTCCGAAAACAATTTCGAATATCTATGAAATCTTACAACTAATGGCAGCTAGTATTAGGTATTTATCAGTATTCCCACTCAAAATGAGAAAATTAAAACAATTACAAGCATTTAAAACGATTAGAAACACCCTCTATCATTTTAATTTGATTCGTTTTATTTTTATTTCAGAACTAGTTCTTCATCAGTATATATCTCCTGTATCCCATAATGTCACTTCAAAAGTCGATAACAGCTTTCTAAAGACTTTTCTAACGAATTCACAACAATTTCATGTCATCATAATAAAGAAGTATTAGAACATCTACGAAATAAGGAATGCGTAACCGTCCAAGTCTATCATGCTGTGTTGTAATAACACTTATGATGTATATGTCTGGCTATTTTGAAAGCTAGTATTGCAAATAATCATTGGCAAATATCTAATACCAGGAAGAACTATTTTTTTCAAACGGATTTCAGGCCTATTTTGATCGTGTATGGATGAATCTTTGTCATCTGATAACTGGCCTTTCGCATTTCTTTTCAAAATTTTTATTCCTCATGTACTTCACTAGGGTTTCATTATTACAAACCTGTCGCCACTAAGTGACATAGGTTTCATCTGTATTCAAAAAAATAATTGGTGACTAAAATTGAATACCTATTGATGATAAGGTTTTTAATTTATTCTTTCAAAACATGCAAACCCATGACTACCGGATACTAATGTAAGTAGAAGAAAACGTTTAAAGATATTGACAAGCAGTAAATTACGGAAAAGTTTATTCCCGTTAACCGTTCAACTTTTTATCGCTAGATGGACTACTCAATAGAAAAAGAGTTTAAGTTACCTAAGGATTTAAACCGAATATCTCTTAGACGCCAAATAAAGGTGACCCTTTCTAACTGAAGAGTCTAACTTAATAATTAGATTTCTCACATTGACTTGTCGTTGAAGAGCAACCGGTTTCATGTTTTTTAGTTCTAAGCAATGACTAAACTCCATAGATCATTTTGTGATTTTTTCCCACCAATCTGAGATTGATCATCGTGGACACTACGATAGTTGTTGTTTGATTGGAGGCAGTTGGTAAAAAGCCCTGGATCTAGGCTTTGTCCCTGTTGGCATTCGTTATCAAGCCGTATCTGCAGCTTTGAGGGGAAGGGAGCGCCCATCATGAGAATCGAATCATCGTCATCTTACACTTTCCTCCAATTTTGTTTCCTGTTCATGCTTTCTATATACCAGTCTGCTAGGCAAAGCTGTCTCAAATCACACAATAACAGTTAAACAGATACTAGATTCCCCTTTCAAATAGTACATTTACACAAGTATTTGCTAGGAGGTCATACTGCTGTTAAATTTATTGCCAAGTAAGTTGCATAAAAATGAGCAATAAAAGTTTCCTTTAATGGTACCTATGAATACGTATTCATGTGGGACTGTCTAGCTATGTCTGCACATGAAAATTAAAACCTAAAATGTCTGACCAAACTGGTCTTAAGAAAAAGATTTAATCGAAATTGATAAAAGCAAAAAAGCTTGAACAATATGGTGAATGCAATTCCATATTAGATTTGTTCTTTTGAATAAACACATAATGATACAGTGCCTATATAACGATTCTTTTCTGAATTACTTCAAGATCACTCATCCATCATGTGATTTTGCTTACGAAAACTAGATCAATGATTGCATACATTTTCTTGATGTACTCAGAAAAAGCAAAGTAAATGACTCTTTACTGAGAAATATGCATAGAAACGGATGACTTAGGTATAGTAAACACAGTTTCTGAGCTTCGTGCTCATGAAGTACAAATGAAATATAATCAAGTCCCTAGCATTTAGAGTAGGTGATTTGCTCCAAGGAATGTGTTACAAAACAACAATATATCCGTGATATTCTAAGTGAAAACATCCTGAAAAGTGTATCAAAAGTAAACATCGCTCTTAGCAGTCCCAAACAAAAACTGACGGCAGTGGTAAAGCCTTTGTTTCTGTGATTACAGTTCAAGCGAGTTGCCCTAACTGAATTCCTAGAGGAGTCAACTGAACGTTTACTGTGGGTTGCCTTTACATACCTTTCAGTAGTCAGACAATCTTCAATCTGACACTAAAAGATATCCTTCCTGATCTTAGCACTTCATCGTGCATACATAAATTTATCAGTTCCTGTGGGACAAGTTACATTAGGCAGGTGCGTCTCCGGACATGATAGCGCTTACTGGCTTCTTTGAGGAAGTATTGAAGTTGGTGAAACGTTCCAAGTGCGCTTAGAAAATATAAAGTATCAAACAATCTCTGATCAAACTTATAGTATCATGAGTTTTATGTCAGACGCAGTACCACTTGTAACATGACAATACAACCACCACATAGCTGGGGCTGCAAACAACAATACTGACCAAACCCGAAATTTACACCCAGAAAGAATCTTTTGAAACGATAATAATTCGTTGGCCTCTAGTAAACAGAAGGCTGCTTCTGTCGTATTTATTATCTGTCCCTTCACTGCCACATTCATCGTCTGTATATGTCATCCTAACACTGACAAATCTAAAAGCGAAAAATTGATTTCCTCACAGTCCCTAACTCAAATCAAATTTTGATAATGTATTAACCTCAAACTTGACCTGCTTCAAGCAGCACAATTGCATTTCATAATTGTATAACCTGATAAGAACTTATAGAAGGGAATATTCTCCGTTCACATTCTTTTTATCCATCTCAGAAAAATCTTTAGACGTTTGAAGTCCTACATTATTATTTGAGTGGCGATATAAATATGAGCACCAACTAAGTCACTAAGTCACTAGTTGAATACTACTCTATCACTGTTTCCTTGTTGGATAGGCAAATCTAATAAGGAGGCTACTTTTATCCGAAGACTGTGATATATTTGCACAATACATTTCCAACATTCTGATCACACATTTACGTTAAACCGAAGAGTGGGAGGACAGTTATAACAATTAACATAATAGTGGACTAAAACAAAAAATGATAAGGACAAGCAGGCAGAGTGACATAGTTTATCCTAATCTTGGTGAGAAAACAAAGTTTACTAAGGTGGGTATATTGTTAGAACAAATTGTTTTTGTGCACATAAAGGTGGTTTCAGCTAAAAATGTGTGCTCAGATTTCTCAGAATGTATTGTGCAAATACATCGAATTGTTCAGACAAACTTTGTCTTCTAATTACAAAATTGCACCATCTAAATTCATAAGAGGGACTAATTTTTTGAAATCGAATGAGCCAAATTTGTAGTCAATGCATACATTCTTTAAAATATTCAGAGTTCTAGAGTAAAACAAAAATTTATCGACCTACAACTTAATTATTGTGGTACGGAGATTTGACCAAGCACTAATTATCAGGCTGTTGTTTACCACTCTGTAGGTTAACATTTATTCTTCAGTACTATATCCAAAAGGTAGAAAGTTCCAGAGGAACTTAGAGTCTTAGGCGAACGTTGGTAGAAAAGTGATGTCTGACAGAAATGAGAGTATATTAGGTAAGAGTAAAACTCCAGAAGATTCATTACAGACGGAGGAGTTCAAATTGAAAAAGTGGAAAAAAACAGGGAAAATCACCTACTGATAAGTTTATCTCTCTTTCGTGGGGAGTATTACAAAAATTTTAAAAAGGTAGAAGAAATTAGAATGCGATAGTTCTAAGGCTACCTCAAAGTTATTGACGTACATTCCCATTTTGAATTCCTTGTTGAGGCTTGAGTTTGAAAACTTTTAATGTTCCGGCCGCATCCAACTGCCTAATTTTCAAACTTTTTGAACGACTTTGTCGTACTTCGTAGAGGATTCTGAACAAGGTTCTGATAGGGACAGTGTAACTTGATGGATGCTGTATTTCGAATGTTTTAAACATCTTGATTTCGCTGCATACAGCCTCAAGATTGTAGTAAATATAAGCTCATACTTTAAATTCCCCTTGAACTTCCTGTCCTTTGAACAATACATTTTCGAAAGAATTATTGTCAAAAAGAAGATTATCTCCGCTTTTACTCCTTTTTACCATGAAGTAACTTGCATTCGACACGATATTTCTATTGTTTATCTATGTTTCATACTAATAAGATTGATATTAAAGCCTGGTTACTTTTCGTTTGGATACCATGTAGTCTGCTCTACTGTGACTTTATTCTTGTTATGGTTGATATTTAATTTTGTGTGGTTGAGTTGGAGTATACTACTCAGTGGAACTACTTGTGACTTTTGGGGTGAACCTTTTTGACTCCCTGAAATATGCGTGATAAACTTACAAATGTGGTTCATCTTTGTCTCGAATTATTCCGACTCATTTGATCTTGTGAATGCTAAGTGTTAGGACTGTTTCATAGTTCGACATCAAACACATCACAGTCATAAGTTACAAAACTGATCTTTATGCCTTCAGGAATTTCACATAACTAGAACAGTAAAACTAAAATGTGTTTATAAGAAAAACGTTTTCCGAAAAGGTTAAGTATCAACTTTCCATTATTTAGAAAAAGGTTATATGAAGTTCTAGAACTCCCAGGTGAAATGCAATGAATAGTTTAAAAATTCATTTTATTCTATAGTATCTAAATTTTTAAAACCCGTAGTACAAGATGGCGGTTGTACGATTTTATTTATGTGGTAGAACTGATGTCTGTTTTTCTGTCACATATTGATTAAGTCATGTGAAAAGAGAAACTAAGTTATTATTGATGTGTTTTCATTGATTAACTGCTTTTTACTGTTTTACCATAACTAAACTCATAATTCTTCTATGTCAGTAAAAGGTAGTTGAATAATTATAAAACTGTGATAGAAATATGACCGATATGTTGCTTAAGTCTTGGAAACAGCCGTCTAAGCACACATCATGAACCTTTTCTTTTTAAACTTGAATAAAACACTAAGAACAGAATTTGCGAGCTAGATGCATATCAGTTTTTATGTGAATAGCTGTTAACGTGGTTTTCGTCTTGAAGGTGCCTATTTAGTTATTTGAAGGTCGGAAAAGCATCGAAATAAAGTTAAGTTTACACCAATAAAACTGAATTAAACTGAAGATAATATTTGAGGCCTAAAGAAGGGTTCTAAAATCAATAAGCTGGGACTAAATATGATAGATACAGTCCACGATAAAGTGATAAGTAGGCTAGATTAATTATCTCAATGAAGCAAAAATTGTGACAACAACTAAGAGTAGTTAGAATGAAAATTGATAGGTTTGTACATAAAATTAGAAAGATGAAATTTCTTTTCGAGAAAATGGAGACTGAATGTAAGGTCAAAGTGCTACTCATGGATAAAAAAAAGTGGTATTTGTGTTTTTTGAATTTATTTGATGACATCTGTTTCCTCAGTATTAGAGAAAGGTGAAGATTTTCATCTGATAACTGCTGTATATCAGTCCCCAACACCACCTTGGTACCCCACATAAGCAACTTGACGGACTATTGCAATGCTCTATAAAAACCCCTTAAGAAACCTCTCTTAGGTACATGTTCATCAGTGACAGTAAAAAATGTCTTCTTTTTCTCCGTAGGTGCACGCCATGGCTTGCCTCTGAAAATTTAACAGTACTGTCATAATTTACAATAGTCAAGCTTTTTCTAATTCGAACCATGTGGTTAAGCATACTGTCGGATATAATAACACAAGTCTCGTAAAGAAATATGTCCTAAATAATGTATTCTGTCTGCTGGTTATCTTCATGATTCCATAGCTTTTGTAACAGAATTTTCCCATAGGCTACACTCTTATCTCTTCTTCCAAATTTCGTAGTATTAATACACCAAGTATGTCGGATGCCAGTTCCATTTTAGATACAAAAGGCTGAAGTCCTGACACGGGTTCTCTATCACTTTAAATATATCACCCATCGGAATCTGTCTTGAATCGACCGGAAAAAAAGGTTAAAATCTGAAGATCAGTTTCTCCATCCAGTTTTGAAGTGAACGTCCCTCCTTAATTTATTATCTTTTTAACATATGTAAGTCGCGAAAGTTTCATTGCCGTTCCTTTTAGTATCTAGCTGCCAATTTAATATCTATATTCACTTAATTAGACTATGGAGCAAGGTTTTTGTATTCTTAACATTCATGCGCAACAAATATCTTGTCAGTATGTTTTGAATAAATACGTGCTCTACTCAGTCACATCCAATCATGGCATTTTTAGCTATATTATGAGAATGACCTGCATTACTGAATTCCTATAACTCCATCACTAACTTGCCCTTATATAAAACTGTTTAATTGGAACTGAACACTTTAGCATACGAATGAGGCTTGAGATCAGTTCTCCATACTGTTTTTTTTTCAATGTTTTGACAAAGGATGTAAACTGATTCAACAAGAGGTTTAATTATTACACGAAGTTAAGCCATATGAAGCTATGAATCTACGCGACAAGTTCAAATTTTTTATTACTTTTATGGAGTCAAAAGGTTCTTTTGAAGTGTACATAAGTGATTGTTGGTTATTTTTTCTTGCTTCTATGTTATACAGCAAGAAATGTTATTGAATGAAGAGTTGCACATAGAAAAAATAGGTATCACCGGTACATTTTGACTTTGAATTGTAGACAATCTTAACTGAGCATGACAATTAGGGTTTTCATCATCAGTCAGCCCTCTCTGCAGCATTCTCTTGATTCTTCATCATTTCACTTTTCGATTTATCTATCAAATCTTCATTGTGATAATAGATCCTTAATTATAAAGGGCCAAGTATTTCATAATTGTTCTTATTAATGTAATCTTCCTTATTGTATGCAGCTACGTGAAGGTCCGTGACAGACTGAATAATTATGGTCTATTTCTCATTTTTTTCAAGTTCTGTAAGAAAGACTGTTGAGTTTGAACAGAGACAGTTCAGATTTGTGATACAGGTTAACAACACTAACAGGTTCACGTCCGAATCCGGTGGTTTTATCTATGTTAACCAACTACGAATCAATAAGTTGATGCTGGAAATTCTCGAACTGAGATTTGGCATTAGTTGTGATAAGAAGCTTTTTTCTGTCTGAGTATTATAACTAAATCGCACTGCATATGCTTACCTGCTGCGAAGGTTAAATTTTTGCTCAAACCAAGCATAATTTAACGATAAAAGCATGAAATAAGACACAGTTTTGTATGAAAACGTATCTGCTTCATGTTGTCTTCCATCCTCTTCCTTACAGCAACGTCGGTATAATCGATATACCTTCAGTTTATGTTAATTCTACATCCGAAAAGTATGATAAAAAACTAATCATTAGCTATGTGATCAAGATTATCGACGCGACAAAATTTTCAGCTAAACTGGACGTCAACGTAGGTGTCTATGTGGTCACCAGTCGAGTCAACCTTTCTCCGATTCCTGCTTCATCTCCTGCCCAACTGGTAAGTCATCAACAATCGTAAAAAAAATATGTAGCAGCCTTCCACTACTTTTATTTACCCCTTAATTGTTTCTAGAAATAATGACTGACTATAAAAATGAATAAATTATTTTAGTTTATGGTTCTCGTAATACACACTAATAACTCGATCATTATAAATGCAACGACTAATTGCTTTGAAATTGACTAACTGGAATTTGTAGGCGTAAACGTTTGCACTTTCGATGACGTAAATTCAAAGTTACATTCTGAGCTGGAGGTGCATAAAAGGATAATTGTCTTTTGAGGGGTGTATATATATCAAATGAAGCTTATTATCTCAGTATGGCGATGGCATTCAGCTAACAATATCACATTTCACAGTATGAAATAAAAAAGCTTCGGATAAGTTAGATACTACAAAATTACTTTTACATTTTATCAACCCCTACATTAGGATATGTGGATGGTCTAAAGCAAGATGTAGTTGAAGAGTGAGAGAGAGAGAGAGACAAAAATCACTTGTCTTCATTCGTAATCTCATCTCCATTCAAATTTCTCAAGATGTATGGATTTATTTACATGTAGAATAAAGGTAACTTATTATGCTGAATAATAATGAACTTTTCAGGCCTGTTGTATTTTGTAGCAGTAGACAAAATTCGAAAATGAGTATGGTGAAGTATTCCAGTGACTGGTCAATCAGTTATGCGATAAAAATGCAAACTCGATAAAAGAAACAGTAGGTTTTTCATGGGACAAACTACAAGTACTGAAGTTTTCGACTGCTATGTGGTTGAATGAGATGTTTCTGAACATACTATGTCTCTAATATCTAGATGGCTTCATCAGCTCATAATTTCATTGTGCAGACCAAAAGTAGTAAGTAAGCCGGCACATGAATTTTGGATCTTTTATAGTCAGCTAAAGAAGCACCACTTCCCTTCTGAATGTCTTTCTAAATTCAGAATCTAATGCGCACATTGGATGAAGTCGTTTAGAAACAAACTATTTGGACACCAACCATTCATTTGATGCATTTCTATCCACTTAAACTTTCTGATAAATTGTTCTAAAATAATTAAAAAGTGTCTCTGGATACTTACTGATACTACACGTGAAGAACTTCATAGTTTTACAACTCAGTATTAAAGCCCATACTTTTTTCATTTGTGCTTTATTGTATTAGTTAACGTCATATCTAATTAACAGTTTTCAAGTCCAGAAAGCTGTACGTCACTCAACATTTCCCAACCCTGTGTAACAAATCCATCTGAAGAATGCATTTTTATGTTCGTTTTTTATTTCAGGCTAAAGCTCAGATACCTTACTGGGCAATTGGAACTTTAGCAACCTCACGTAGTAATACTAGCTTGATGCTTGGTGCATTTAACTTACTATCATTCAACATCGTTATACAACCACAAGCGAGACAATCATATAAGATTCAGGTTTACATTTTGCAACTTTTGAATATCGTAACTTTAATGGAGCCGAAAATACTTGATGTCGGTAGCGCTGTTTGTACTTTTGATTTTCAAACAACTGTAAGCGCCACGAATTTGGAGATAAATATGGGTCCTCAATACTTTGAAAGTAAGTTAATGTCTTAGCACAATTAAACAACTGAAAGTTTAAGACATATAGAACATTCTTTATTGTTGCTAATGTTTATGCTTTTTTCGAATAATTACCATTTTCCCTAGGTGACAAAAGTTAGAATTTTTAACACCAAATAAAATAAAACTGTTCTTCATAATAAGAAGGCGGATCGTTTGGTTTTTGTTTGTCATTATTTGCTGTGTATCCAAGCGATGTATTATCGATACTACTCAAAAATACAAAAATAGACTTAGTTATAAAATGTAAAGGTAGGAGCAGATCTTGTGATAGAGTATAATTCCAGATTACATTAGATTATTTGATACATTGTTGTAATACTGTATCAAATCAAATAATCTTATTCCAAATAGGGGACAAAGTGACTGTGTGGTAGCTAGTAGTTAAGACACTTACCTACACAACCGCCTAATGAAAAGATCAAGGATACTTTTACCAGCGAACAACATTCTGTCTAATACTCTATAATATGAGACGTTGGTCATTCACACTTACTCTACATTTCATAACTTCATACTATGCGTGCCTTTTCTGTAAGCTAATAGACATATTACCAATAAAATCGTATCACGAAAATGTATGTTGCCTGAAAACTATATAAGTGCAGTACATTGGGAGATAAAGTTGAATACTACTACTGCTACTGCCACTACTGAGACTATGACTTCTACTACGGTCAAACTTCTTCTATTTAACCAAGCCCCAACCAGTGCTAATTACCTTTCTAGCATATGAAGAAAGCATGGGCATATTTTTGAATTCATAAGTCATTTGTAAGCACAACCTCTCCATTTTAAGTGATAGTCACATTCACATACATCTTAGACCTATATGCAGATATTGTAATACCTTAATTATTCCCCTTAAACTTTTTTGGCTGGCTGTTTAATATTACGAAAAAGCATTTATGTACAGCAAATAAAAGTGAAAATATGAAATAAAAGCAGATACTGTAATGACGAAATCTGCTGCGCTGCGTCATTTTATTCGGTTATTAGATTTGAATCGACAAATGTTTCTACATAGTAGTAGCGTTCTGTTTTAGAAGGTTGATCAAAATAAAAACTAGATTATTGTGACTTTCGAAAGTTAGTATGAAGGTAATTAACGAAAGAATTTACAAGCAACCTTAAAAAATCCGATATTGCTTTGGATATTTTAACCCAGATAAATACATGCAACAATCAGAAAAATTATTCTTGAAAGGTTTGAACAGAAATTGACTTTCTCAAGGGCGCTGGTGGCTAGAGAATACTCAACTCCAATTTATTGCATCTTTTGATAATTTAACTTAATTGAGTAGTGTTTGTTTGCTGTTCATCAACCTTTCACTAGCAAAAACCATTTGCTTTCTGAATGGACAAATATGTGATAATTACTTCAGCAGTGAAATACTAAACATTTTCTTGAAACAAATGATAAGGATGTATACGTGAAAAACAAAACTTATTACTAGAAATATAGCTTAACGAGATGAATTTAAAACTGCCTCAAAAGGTTCGCCTTTTCTTCAGTTTATCTGATTATTGCACAAACGATTCAGTGAACCATCTTCCACTTTGATCAGGATGGTTAGGTGGATTAAACTACATTCTGTGTGTACTAAGCGGTTACCGTTCTCCACGAAGATTTGAAAACAAACGCCATATAAAACAACCATCAGGAGATACACCAAAAAAATATCATGACCCAAGTGGAAATATGTTTGTGTACTAGGCTATGAGGTGTACTAACTGTCTAAGGGCTGGTGATTCTACCGTGTTGCTCAGGTTTAGGTAGGTTTGACGGATTCGGAACTCGTAAATCATTGCTAGAGGGTTCATCGATTAGACCAATTAACCATATCATAAATTTTTAAATTAACTCAAATCATATCTGTCATCTATCGTACGTGCTACTGAGTGTGCTGTCCGTAATAACTGAGGAAAGATTTTGATGCTGTTTTGTTCTCTTGACTGGATGATTTAATCCTGGACCTTTCATTGTTATTCCAGCCAATATCAACATAAACTCTAGTAAGAAGTGAGCTATGAGGTTTACTCAACAAGTTGTTGAGTAGATTGTATTACTGACCTTATGTCTAAACGGTTATTTCAATTAAAATACTGTCACTGTCTCCATGCGGATTTTGGTCTGCTGTCCAAATGATATGAACGCAAGCCATTTTGTTGTTTCTTGTGTATTGTACTGGTAAAAAGACTAAGTCAATGTCGATACATCTATTGATCACTGACTTACCAACGTGTTAGCCTGTAAACATTTGTTGTTATTCTTTCTATGTCCTCTATCCAAGGTCTTGACATTTTTCAGCTAAACTAGTATCTGCAATGCGCTCAAAGTCACCATGAGGACAAAATTTCGCAGCTCACTTCTCTCTGGAGCATATACTGATGTCATCTGGAACGACAGTGAAATATTCACAAGTGGATCATCCAGCTCAGTGACGACAACGCTAAAATTCTCCCTCCAACCTACAAATATTTCTCGTCACTTCATAAAAGACTTTCTTTTTCAGATAAGGGTTGTCCACAAAAGCATAAACACTATGATTTATACACAGAGTTGTAAAACGTGAACAAAGCACAGAAAATCACATTTCTATGCATAAAGGTACACTTTATAGTCAGCTGAGTTGGTGCTACACTAAAATTACAACTATTTGGATGTAGGCTATTACCTCAGTGCTGAGAACATTAGTTTTGAGTCAACAATGTTTTCTTAAGAAAATGATTAAATATTTCATCTGCTCAATTCCTTGTGTGTGTATTCTTTAAACTACTCCTGACACATCTGGAGTATTAGATGGTTGGAGACAATCAACAGAAAGCCTTGAACCTAAGTTTAATGCTTGTTAGCAAGGCTTAGATACAACTTTGAGGAAACTAATGTCCTTTGAGAGATTCAAATGCAGTGCTGCATTTACAGATGTCATCTCTGACCTATTTTGGCAGCATCTGTCTTCTTGTCGGACTAAATAGGATGCAAACGCATACCGGACCTGTCTCTAAAGTTTCGAAGCGACTTCATTTCTGAGACCCTGATGCAGAACCTAAAAATTCGTTTTGGATAAAGCTACCACCACAGCAAGATTTTGGTGTTTATCCTTCTGTCAACTAATGCTGATTTTACGACATATAAGAAGACAGGAAACTGTGAGGAATATTTGTATCTCGGGGTGTGAACATACAACAGGGGGATAAATTAAAAATTTAGATAAGTGAATAATGAGGTCAAAGAGACTTACACTTCTACACTACTATGAAAGACCGAAGATCCACAAATCAAGCGTACAGGTTCAACTACTTGTTTCACTTTCAGGAACTCCGGCAAGTAACCTATTAAGGTAATTAGCTGGGAAACTGAACCCCTTCACCAGTCAATCAACTCAACAACTAGGTTCATAGGTAAAACTGAAGACATCAAAATATGCAAAGAATAATCGCATTCGACATTGATAGATCAGAGCATTGCAAAAGAAACTATTCTAAATATACTTTCAGATGACAAGGATCTACAAGTATCAAAGCACTGACAATCATGGATCAAAAAGATCTTTTCTAATCCACCCACTTGCAGTTCAAAGGAGAAATATATCGACCAGTGATCAAAACTGCAACGGAATCATCATTCTCAGAAGGAGTAGTAATGTGATCCAGGGTTGATGATACTGTCATCAAGCGTGAATTGTGTGTGGTACAGGTGGACGACACATTCGTCATCCATACTAAAAACGATATCGAATTTACACAAATTTTCATCAACGTTGTAATTCAGCAAGGGAAATTTTCTTTCCAGGACCCTTAATATCGTATTTAAAGTAAAGAAAATTGAATAAGTCTACTATTGGCTAGTCGACCAAAACCGGATCATGGTAAGTGGAATATTCTGGGAGGACATAATAAATTGTTTCTAAAGTTAAAAGGGCATTATGTAATCAAATTGGTTTATAAGAGGTAGTATCCAGTCGACCATGGTCATCACTGTTATATTCAATAGAGGTTGATAATAGAGGTACCATTTAGAAAATTTATTGAGAAACTGAAACTAACAGGTAGAGACGTAGGAAATTAAACTATGAAGTAAAATAATACCGATTACCAATCAACAAGTGTAAGATGGATGGATATCGGAACAAGGAAGGAATTTCAAAAACAGTTATAATCGTGGCAAAGTAAAGGATTAAACATACCTCTTCTGTAAGCACTGCTTGAACTTTCCTTTTTGGATCCATGTAGGAACCAAAAGAGGACTTCAGGGAAGCAACATTACCGCAGTAGATGAAATAGTCCAGGATGGCGATGTTGCTTGACCTACATTCTCCTATGAAAAGCTAATAAGGATAGTTCTGGGAAAATGCGTTCGGAAAGACTGCGCTTCGTATGATCCAAATAAACAGCTGCAGAATAAAAGCTGAAATGAAAAATACGCATGAATTTTGTCTCTTTAGGTCAACTGTTAGTTCCTGTTTTCCATTACTCCTATTATCAACCTTTATGGAATATAAGTCATCATCATGTTAAACTTCATACTTCCTCTTATATACCAAACGATCACAAAACCCCCTTCTAACTCCAGATATGATTTACTATTTACTTCCAGAACATTCCATTTACGATGATCAGATTTTGACTTACTAGCCAATAGTAGGCTTGCTCGTTTTTCGTTACCAATAGCGAAGGAAAAAGAAATTTCCTTCTCTGAATCACTTTTGGCTAATCATCAATGTTTTCAAAGGAATCGAATTCACATCAAAGAAGAATTAACAAATAACTCCCATTTTTAGATATCCTAGTTGCATAACATGAAGATGGACATTCTGAAACTGAATGATACAGGAAAACAACTCAAAACCCAGGACCTACACTACAGTATCAGTGACCCAGTACTGCACAAAAAGCTGTGTTGCAATGCTCTTCAATCAAGCAGTCATAAACTACAGTACAAAAGAATCAAGGTAACCTAAGAAGTTTTATTTGTTTGAAGTCTTCTAAATCAACGTCTATCCAGTTAATTCAATTGAAGGATGTCTTTAGAAACCAAAAAGTTATGTTTTCCTACAAAATTTTGATGAAGATGACTTACGTATATCTAACCAAAATCTTGCACTTAACTAATCAGTGCAAAAACATCCAATCTCTCCAGTCAAACAAAGCGAAGGAAATTCTCTCAATTAGAGCAATTCAGTCAATCATCATAAGACATCTTCCTACGAATACAGAAGAGTCAACAATTCAGAATAAGACCAGGTTCTTCACCTTCGTTAAACAACAGCATCAAACAGTTAAATTGAAAAAAAATTATATCAGCTCAATAGAATGGATCAATTGGTCACCCAATTGACCGCCTATTTGAGAAATGTAGGGGCGTAAGTTAGTCGCACAAAAAATGCATCCAGACACCCACCAAGCAACCAATCAGGTAAGACCCAGATAAATTAACTTTCTATAAATATCCACACACAACCAATTACTTCACTTCCTTGTGAAGCTCTGATTCCCTGAAGATGATGTTTAGAATGACTGTGAAACGTTCACCAACTGAAGCTTCTCAGATTGCAACTGGATATGAAAGGAGAAAGACTAGGTTAACTCAACTACTCCGCTTTTATTTTCCGGTTTGTGTGCTATCAAACAGCCGACCGAGATAGATTTAAGATTAGGCAAGCCTGTCATCAAATTTATAAAATCCTGTATTATATTTTAGTAGATGTCAAACAAGATCAGTGAGAAGTGTTTTACTCTGAGGTTTAGTGAATGTTGGATGTCAGATTCAATTAAATCCATCGTTTTGTGTCATTCATCGTATTTCATGTAACCTGGATTATGACGGGAGAACACAATCCTTACGTACATCGGAGGCTGTTGGTATTCATTTGAGCAAGCCAAATCCAAATCTTCAGTAGAACTTTGGACAGCATCTCTCTTTATTGCAATTATTTTTCTGAGCTTAATCTTACTTTAATAAACTGCACAAGGACGGATCTTCCCCTCATGCACCCTAACATTTTCCCCCTTCTTTTTATACACTTCTCCTTATGTGACTAGGGTCAAAAACTGCCATTTGATATCTCACTTATTATTCCTGTCATGTCACTTGTTTGTAGAACAAAAGCTGCTCTTTTACTGAGTTATTTAAAGCCATTGCTCAGCTTCCTTAAATACTATCCTAAATTCTATGACCTGTTAATACCGAAAAGTTGATTTTTTATCAGATTATGATTTTAAACTGACCTTGGGTAAAAAATTATAGCTGGTGATATGAAGCTTACTAAAAAGAAGTATTCGTACCCTTAATTAATTCTTATCTAAGTGATTCACTGGAAATTTTCACTCAGCCGAGAATATCTAAAGTGTCATTTTTATTTTATTTCAAAATGGACAGAAAACAGTTATCCTGTCTTGTTTAATAGAGTAGGTCCTTCGGTATTCCTGTTATTAAAGATAATCTTCAGGACGGAAAGAAATTTACCTAATGCAGTATACGTTCCTCTTTTTCACTTAACTGAAACCTATCCGTCATTATTATTAATAATTTTCGAAACAGAAGTTGCATGGCATTTTACACACATTTTACAGACAAGCACTTCCTACCACAACTTCTATTGTTTGCAAGTAAAAACTGTGCCTAGTAAAACTCTTTCATAAAGCTATTTCCCCCAAAGGAAATCGGTCTACTTTCAACATTCTTATGTTGGCTGATTAGTTTTGTTTCAATGTTCAAAAGATTTTTGACTTTAATGATTGATTACTCGACAGTAAACAATGTTATGTTGTATATATCCAAAAACTGACAGATTTATATTGACCAAGTCTATGATACAGTCATCAAGAATGAGGAGTTATCCTCACAGTATGCTTTGACTTTCGATGTAGGGTGAAATCAGGGTCCACGAAAACCGATAATAGCAACTAGCAACCTTAAGTAAGTAAAGCACACCACGACGATAAGCTCCCTAGGTTGATGACCATAATATAGACTTCATCGATAGAACTCTGTCAGTGGTTATGATTAGAAAATATGTTATTCTTTACCCTCCAATAACAAGTCAAAACGGTCAAAAATACTGTGAGTAATGAGACAGAATCAATGGACTGACATCAGAAAGTTGACAGAAGACACATTTGAGAAACAGGTAAAAACGCTTCAACATTGAATCCTGACATGCAACCGCCTCTACAAAGATAAAAAAGATAATTTTTGTGATAAACTAGCGCAGTAGCTTTCGAGTAATCTGGTCACTCATTCAGTTGTTCTGTTCCTTTTCTTATGATTGGCTACGTGGAATGAGATAAATCAAAGTTTGAAACTACTGTGGATAATCAGAAAAGAACCAAGCTCTTACTATTGGGATATCAGGTTGTGGGTAGGAAGGCAGATTCTACTGTAATTAAGAACCCATAAACAACAGTTTTTGATTGTTGTATTCTGTCAAGTAGTTTTAGAAATGTACTCAGGACATCCAGTAAACTTCCCATTTTTTAAGTATCTTACACGAATGCTTTTTTGTCAGCTAGGAGCTACAGACTAATCAGTAATTCCCCTACGGAAAGGTAACATCTGTTTTGTATGTATATATATCCTCAACGAGAATAAGAGTAAATAATTATTGTAGACATCCCTAGTAGACATCACTGATTTTCGTTACCTTAGCTGAAGACGTTTTATAATCCCTTATATTCTTGTTTCGTTGTTATTAAAAAGCTACAAGTAGCACAATCTAATTTTTTGACATTTTTTTTTCATATTCAGACACAAACCAATAATGATCTAAATCAGATACTGCCTCGTATTACAAATAACAGCAAACTTCTTTATTCCTCAGCTTTAAAAACTGCTTTCTGGATAAAATCTAGTTAAAACATCTCTAAGCAACCATGAAACTTATCTTATTTGCCCTGGTTTTTGCCACTGAGCTACGTTTCCGTGTCTTGAAGCTATAGATTCTAGTAACTCAAAAACTTTTGATGAGTTTAACTTTTCTGTTTTCGTCAAAAAAATACACTTCTTTTAACTCATGAAGCGGAATGAAAATGATCGGAACTACTGTGAATATATTGTCTTTCCCTTGGTAGTACCTTGCTTGTTTTAACTGATGACTACAGACAATCACACTGAAAGATCCGACATTTTGATAATGTCTACTGATTTTCCACAATTTCTCATCTAAGAGTGTAGGCAATGAAAACGTTTGACATCTTTTTCTCAGGCGAAAGAAAATAAACGATAATCCTACGTTTTTTAGGTAATGAAACTATGACAAATTCGAGAAGTGAAAAATCAGCAATTAATTTTCTTGTGCCTCTAAATGTGAATTTACTGGCATCTTCTTTTGTTACTGTACGGTTCACCCTGTTCTATGGAACACAAAATGTTCAAACTTACGTAAATGTGAATGTTCTCAAAAATGAGGTATGTGACGTTTTTGATCGATGTATACTACATAATCTATAATAACATTAAAATAATTTGTTTAAAAACTGTGAACCAACGTATACCATTCATGCAAACAGTAAGAAATGCTTCGTCAAAGTCACAATGATTATAGCTTTCTAGTTTAAATATTTAACCTGGTAATTCCGTAGTATTTTACTATCGTTTTCTCTTTATGTAGATTCTTGAAATGGAAATTCAGAAATTATGTGATACATGTATATTCTCATGCGGTGACGCCTGCCTACCAAAAGGAAACTCATACTGTTGACATTCATTGTCAGCAAATTAGAAAAAACTAAGAGAAATGTTTTGACAATTTAGTGGCCTAATAACCAAAGGAATAGTGCATATCAATGAAGAAGAACACGAATGGCGATTAATTTTTGTGAAATTAGTCTTCAGACGTCCCGACGTCGTGCAAATGATAAAACTAACAGTCACAAAATTCTGAATGGTTTTCAGATGAATGGTTCATCATTCCCAACCGCTTCAAAAGTTTTTTCACTGCAGAAGTAAACCTATCAAATGATTCCCAAGTTTGCATTTTAGAAGGTTATATTTCAGAATGACCTACATAGCCGTCTTAGGTTTCGTTTTTTCGTCTAGGGGGATGTTCATCACGGCATTAAGAATCCTTATTGGTAATGCAATTAATCGTAAGGATGACTCTGAAAGTTACTCAATTTACCACAGATTACATATACTTATAGCTAACTAAATAAAATGTTTGACATGAGTAAGACCCCTACTGCAACTGAGATAACCAATCAGACTTCGTTATTTTATGAAAATCTTCCTTTCCAACATAAATAAATAAACCTGATTGGCTATTTCAATGTTTACTAGGGTGACTTCCAAATAAACTGATAAACTGTTATCCTGCAGTTAAAACAATGACCTACTTATACACAATTTCAACTGATAGTTTATACTCACTGACCAGTATGTTATATTTACCACCAAGAGGAAATGATGCATAAAATTATGTCAGTCATTATGTGAATTCTGACGTATTTAGTAAGGACATAGTTTCAGTAACTGTGACAGGTAGGAAGATATTAATTCAGCAAATTTCGTTTTTAATTATGTTGACGGATTACAGAAGAGGTAATACGTTCTAAGGGATTTTGCTTTTATTGGCGTCTAGTTGGATGAATTTCGCAGTTCTAACTTAAACTTGTATTTCTTTAAAAATAGGCACGCGTACCGAGCTCGTCACTCAGCTATCAGGTAGATGCTGCCAGTTTTCATGAAAGGCCAAGTGAGCGTAAATATCCAGCAGTACCTGGACAAGTTGTTCGCTTTCACTACATAATTAGCCTGCCGAATACTATGTGTGCAAGATTTCAAATTATGTTTTCACTATCCTCTAACTCATGGGCTGTTGATATGTTAGGTGCAACGGTTTTGAGCTACAGTGAATATATATGGTTTAGTAGTGGTGTTAATCCTATCATAGATACGTAAGTGAACAAAACGTTCGTTTGGAATTAATTCTGATTCATATCTGTGGAACATTTTGTACATTTTTCATTTTTATTCCTTTTGCCTCTAAAAAGCTTCTAGCGAAAACTATCAACAAACACGATAAGTATTCTAAAACTTTTGGTTAGTTTGCAATCTCTATTATTCACGAAAATTAAGAGCATTGGAAATGACAGGTCTTATTATCTTTGGAAACAGCAACATATTGCATTTTACATTGCCTAAAATAAGAAAAACCGTATGAGTTTATGCTCATCTTCATGGAGTAAAAGAACGTTTTATTCGAGTGCAGACTTACTATGAATATCTTTTAAAGGAATTATTGGTCAAATATTTTTAGAAAAAAGGTTAAAAATATAAGAATCACTTTATACACAACTTAGCGAATCTGTTTTGCAGGACAATTACTCCTATTTCAGGTAATCATTTAAAGACACATGGATACGAAATTCCATTTCATTTGTCATGCACCATTGAGACTTTTGCTGCGAAGTCGCGTGAATACGCTTCTTAAGCAATCATGACACTCATCTTAGGACTTTTGTAATCTAACTAGACGGAACTGTTTCGTACACAACAAACAAGGCACAAAATGTAGAGTTAGATAAAGGACTAAAGCCAAACTGTTGAGGTCAACTACGCAAGAGTAACACAACGCAGAAGTTTTATCTATGTGCAATATATGAGTACTGATAATTCTGGTCCTACCAATGGCTATACCTTATCCCTAATGCCATTCACTTCAAGTATGCGTAGTTTTTCTTTGAAAATGGGTATACGTATACTTTTAATTTAACGAGTGACAATATGAATGCCACCCATTATATAATCTGAAAATGTCAAATAGTAAATAATTGTTAGCCAGTGACAATTCTTTGTCTTGAAATTGTTGAAGATAAAAATGATTTCAAGGAATATGTATATGAGCATCAGCCTAACTAAAGTCTATCATAACTGACACCGATAGACAACCATAAATTTAACTGGGACGACATTAAAATACTACGTAAAACGAGCCTAATAACCTAAATACAATTTTCAGATGAGTGGTGTTTCAACCAAATGGCAAGCAGCCAACAAGTGGACAGTTACTCAACATACAGATTATCAAAAAAGGATCAACCAAATAGCAATAAACCAGGCAGGCCGACAAACACATTTTAGGCCAAAAGTAGACGTTAAAGAATAATAGCTGTTACAAAGGTCAATCTCTGATAAAAAACGAAAGAAAAGTCATTCCTATCAATAAGTCAATAACTCTGAGAGTGGGAAAATATTCCTCATAAAAATTCATGCAACTGGAAAATGCTTCGCTTCTTTATAAAGTAGACCCTGGTTAATTTTTCTAGCCTGGTGATAAAACGTTCAGGAACAAACGTCAAAGCCCAGAGAACACGAACAAATTACTTTTCTAATCTTGAGTGACAAATCTTCTCTACTGTCTCAACCAAAGGTCTATAGAACTTCCAGTTTTTGGTGATGCACAAAAGTTATCAAAGATTTTTAAATGTATTCCGGGAAAGCACTGTACTTCTTACAACATTTCTTGTTACAAGGACTGATGAATAAGTGCTGTTCATTTCATCGCATTAGGTCACCACGATTTTATACAGTAATTCTATTTCAGGTAATCAACTGCTGATAGACTGAATCTAATAATGCTACTTATGTTTACACCTTGTTAAATGTATACTGCCACAAAGTGGAGAGTCAACTTATATTTCTATTTCACTCATGAATTTTTGTTAAGCTGATCATTACATGAAGCTTGCTTTTTCCGAACATAATCATGATTTTTACATAATTATCGCTAATTTATACCGAACAAGTTTACTAAGATCCAAAACAAATTTAAATATACCGTTACTTGTAATAACTGTGAGTGGGAGATATCGATTACTTTTCTTTTTCTTTCACAAAGACACTACGATATCAGTCACTACTACACAATAGAGTACCATAAGATATAGAAAAAGGGCAATAACTTACCTCCAAGTTGCGTCAAAACTTTCAATGCTGATAGACCTGCCGCTTTCTATTGCCTAAGGTTATGAAACTGAATAAACTTTAGTAAAACACTTCAGATTTGATCAAAGGCAGCAATTCTGAAATCGACAGTTTTACCAGTCCTAAAATTAAACACCTGACTTTCATTTTATTTGATTACTGATACTTGATTACATAAGTAAGTTCTTCAGGAACTTACAGCGCATCTGCTGAGTAGTTTCAGATGAGTAAACAATCATAGTCAAAATTATGAATACAAACAGTTTTCAGTTGATCAAATTGCTTTTTTCATCGATTCCTGTGACAAAATAAGCATCAGCTTTGAATCCTGTACATCCATAGGATTACAAGAAAATTATTCGCTGATATTTTTCAAAGTTAACAAAGCAACAAAATAATTATACCAGCGTTGAGATCTAGTTAACCATAATAGCTATTCGACTACACACTTGATGCTCTTCCCATGTTACTGATATTGCGGGAAATCTCATTAGGTTTTTTCATTACTAATTTCTACAGATTTCACTGAATACCTTTTCAACCATATAAGTCATCAATAAACTTACTCATAACCAGGTAAGAATGCATTCATTTGATTTATTTTACACTAGATATACGTCACCCAGTCAAAAGATTGACAATTAGAATACAGCTGTGACTAGTTGACATCTGGACTTCCTGGCTTAGTCGAAGAAATAAACTGACAAACGAGCAAAATTTGGGTCCTTTAGAGCATCGGGCTCATTTTCATCTTCGTTCAGCGCCCTTTTATGCATCGAACAAGTTTATCACCAGAGATAACAACTCATTCACACAGAAAAAACTGTATCTATATGATGACTATGCATTTTGTTATTCATCAGTGCGATACTCAAGAAGAATACTTGAGCGAAAACTAAAGATAAAATAGCTTGATCATTTAGTCGAAATGCCAAGTTTATCACAGAGTGATGCAATAACAATAAAATTTGAACAACTTCATTACACACTAGAAAGATGAGTTCTTTCATTTGAGTGTGACAATGAAAGGGACTGCAATAAAAGCATTTCAGTATACAATGTAAAAGAGTAGTAAGGGGAAGGTAAAATAAAGATTACAGAGACATCATCTCTGGTAAGAATTAGCTGCCTGAAATGCAGCACAGTAAGGGACACTTCTGTTAACTGACATGCAATAATTCAACAGTGCTTACTGGATGACGTTCCGAACAGAATTTATGTTCATAATCGCAGTCATACTTTGACATGAATCTGAGTGATAAATTTTTCTTGAAAAGATATCCAGTAAATAATAATGTATCACTGTTTACTTTATCAAATAAACAATCCATTACGAACCACAGCGTCTACATATGCTACTCTCCGTTCACTACCCTTCTATGCCGACGTTTCATTGTCTCAAATTTGTCTTGGTTAAGCCTCTTCCATTGTCATTACAATAACATGTGAATTCGCCACTTTTTTCTCATTTGTGCCTCTTTAATTTCTAAAAATAATCAACTGTGGAGAAACTGGCTGACTCCCGTATTACTCTTACTTTAACTAGATTCGATGGGATAGTGGCAGTGGATATGGGAACGATATGCGTGCCCGAGACATTTGACAATCAGGTAATATTTAATTGATACTTATTTTACGCTATTGTTTCAACTGCTTCAATGGGTACAAGCTTACCTGGCCGGGACAGACCTTTGCTTATTATTACTGTTGTCCACGTAACAAAATAAACAGCAATTTACGTAAGCAGTGTCACCTAATATGACGTTAGTCCTAAGTGTGTGTATTACCTTAGAGCGATGAAACGTTATTGATCAAAGTTTTTTCTAATATATATACAACTGGAGTTTTCTCCAATGAAGTTCATCAGCTTCAGATAAATAACTTGTGTCTGCAATCAATTGTAGCTGTTATACTAGTCTGTTCAGTTGCACCTCTCTCGCAAACTGATTCACCTTAAGAATTTCATACTCCACTGTACTTTGGTTGATTGGTTGATGCACATAAATTACTCGATTGAATCTTATTTCACCTACCAAGATCTGGGTAGCTAAGTGTTATGAAAAGTTAAAACACAACACACTCGATATTTGCCTAATGCACAATTACTAAGCCAATGCTAAACGGTTTTCGATAATGCGCAAACTTGTGATTTAAATTTGTAACACAGTAATGTGAATTTTGATAATAAACAAAAAACTTTTTCAGTTTGCTGTTGCTCGAAATTCGTTCTCCAAAAACATTTGAGTGTATATAATTAACTGAAAATTTAAGTCATTTGTTTTCAGTTTTCTAGCAGTTGAATCACATATTATGCCAAGACCTATCCTGCTGTAATTTGTCAGCTTTGAAGTATTTATCGTAGTTTGGATATTGTCCAGAAGTATTATTCGAAACAGGAGCGTCTAAGGTTGAATCCTTACGTTTCTCAGATATTCTTCATATTTTAGTCGCTGTGCCTTTATTTAATGTTCTTCTTACAAACACAGCTAATAATTAATGTAGTCTGAATAGACATCTTTCCACAAAGCTTTCCATTTTTAGTTTGATATACTTCTTTATATTATGGGAAGACTCTCAAGTAGTTTTAAGAATGTGACTTCATTCGACTAAAGTTAACTGTAAGAGAATTTCTTATCATCAATGTATTCGAGAACGTATAAAGAAAATCCTTATCTCTAGTCTATCATTAGACCGTTTTGATAAGCCGTAATGTTTTGAATAAAAATTACTTTAGCTGTTCGACACCACTTCCTCCCCATAGGTATGTAAGACAGTTGGAAAACAGTATTAATCAAGTCTTGTCTACGTAGAATATTCCTGGAATATATAGTAGATTAAAACAATCATTCTTAGTAACTTCACATAACGAATGTAAATACGTGTTAACTTTTCAGATTCGTCTTGATCTATTTGTCCGTCCACAAATTAATTTTGTAAGCAGTGTTAGTGGAAACAAAACGGTATTAATCGTTGGAGAACTTTCAGTCAGTACTATCGGTTCATTATATTTGCCAGTAGGCAGTTTTGTCGTAAATCCAGAATATACAATGGAAGAAAGCATGGTGAAAGTCGCCGCAATTCCAGACGACAGTTATGTAAGTTATTCGGTTTAGTAAATCCTTTGGATTAATCTTGCATTCGTAAGATAACTGTATAAGGATGGAACACTGGTGCGTAAAGTTCGCAGTTTCCTAAATATTCGGCAGAAAGCAGTGTGTTTAATAAAGCTGTGCATAGTACATAAAAGTTTTCCGGAAAATTACTGTTTCATACTGTTTAATGATCGCCAAGTGTGATCCGGACTTCGAAATTGACTTTGATTCAAAATGTTGCTTTTGAAATGCGTAGTATGACAGACTGACATACTGTAGGACAGACTATATTTTTTAAGTGAGATCTTTTATCAAAGAAAATCTTTCCAATGAATTCTCTGAGAAGGATTTCGTTTTTTGAGATAGTTATCAAGTGCAATTTTCAAAGTTGTGCTATTCAAATCACCTTTTACTACATAAAAATCAAATGCTGAAAATGAAAAACAAATGTTCACGGTAAACTACATGAAAATACTAAATACTTAAAAGAGTTTTATAGTGTAATGACGTATTTCTAATAGATTCTAATACTTTCTGCTTACTTGACATAACCTTTATCGCTTCCAGTTTGGTGTGAATATATTAGGTTGAATGGCTTAAACGTAAATCGGAAGTGTGAGCAATACGTCTATACACAAATAAAACCATTTCAACCTTCGTACCAACAAGTTTATGCAAATTTTAAATTGTCTTTAGACTTGGTTACTTTGAATGGTCACAGAAAGTCAGTTTTATCGCATCTAACTTATAATGAAAATTAAATTTCATTAAATTAATTTACAGTAAATGAAAAAAAATATAAATCTGTGCTATTCAACATAGCTAACCATTTGGAAACAGTAAAATTAATATTTCACTTTTGCCTTCTCTCCATAATCCTTTTTCATTTTAGAAACCTAAGGTCAGAATTACACCAACTGGAAGTTTGTTTCTACTAGGTACTTGGAGACGAATTGCATTAATGTCCAAGTCCCTTTCGCTGCTTATTTGCCTAATTCATCCATCGTTATTGGAGGAGCTAATGATAGCGTTGAAAAGATATCAGTTTTCACTGTAAGTAACGTGCAACTATTGCTCGGATCCAACTTGATGGCCCTACTCAATGAACAGTTTAAAATAGTGTTCAAATCTACATATTTCAAGGGACAGCAGGATACATTAGAAATACAACTGGGTAATGTTGTGAATCCAGGTAAGAAGTAGTACACAACAGTAAGCAGCTTCACAAATGTCTTTAGTCAAATTATCACATACAACTACAAACTATAAACATTCTCAGCATATACTCTCCAGTTAATTACTGGAAACATACTGAAGATTGTGATGATGAAGTCTGGAATGGCAGTGAAAGCTTCATGAATAAACCGTCTATCTCAGTGAACACAACACCAATATCATGCACCAAAGCTAGAAATATTCCCAATCAAAAAATATAGATAGCTTTTCAGTCTGTTCAAAAGTACATAAAATTTTTATCCTTCTTGTATATACATCCTATAAGAATACATAAAGTAAAATATTAAAATAATATAAAAATAGCAACGAAACACAAAAGAAGCAGATTACACTTCGTCATGGTTGGGTCTCTACAGCATGTTTTCATATATTGCATCGCTTTTTTAACATTGGATGGTTGAGACTTTTTCAGAAACGCCATTTTATTTTTAAAGAACTGCTTTCAGTGTCCACGTTGACAGTCGAATATTCATCACTTCTTTGTAGTTGCGTACTATTTGAGGAACTCTTTTGCGATAGTACGTGTTACCGAAAGTCAATCCAAAAGTTCATGTCCCCACATATATGTGAAATCGAATAATGTGCATAGGAGAGAAGTTTAATTGGCGGTTACTCATTCAAACACTAGAATTCACTTGTAACAAAATATGTAGTACATGAGAACATTTTTTTTCTGGTGTCTGAAACGATGGTACTTGGTTTGAGTCCAGTTGAAAACACCGTGACTCACAGGGATGCAGGTATATCTTAGTGTCAAGTCGTAAATAAGACGTACGTCTTGAATCACACTCCTAGCCACCGTCAAGCGAATTATAACTTTCTTTAAAGTTCTTTCTCCATATTTCTCAAATCCGCAATAATTTTTGAGTCTGTTGAGCCGATTCATCTGAGCATTTTTATTTGTCTTACACTTAAAATCAAATCCAAACAGTAACGACGATTGTCTGGTACTCTTTATTATCATTTCCGTATCTGATCTTTACCTTTTATTTGGAGAGACTTCTAAAGCCACTGTCAATATATTCGATAAAATATTAGAGGAAATTTAAAGTGTTTCCATGGAAGATAACTCGATATCTGAAGGCTTGACTTGCGTAACTATGTAACACGTTTTTACACGAAGAGTAGAGAACGTGGACAGTTGTATTCCGACCAAGTGTCTCCTTGGTAACGTGCTAGCCAAGAAACCTGAGGGTCCTGGGCTTGATTTCGGGTGAGTCATGATTGCGCGCTACTGTACAGCCAGTGTTCCCAGATTTTCAGTGGTTTGCCTGCTGATCTCAATTCATGGTGAAAATCAACTTAAAAACAGGTTTACTATTTAAGTAGGTTTGTTTCAGATGACTTGAATCCCCAAGGCATGCTCAACAATAAGTCGATTTGCACGCTAATAATGTCAACAGTCTCTCTAGTTTATTTACTTTAAGGCCGATAGAAGTCCGTTCAGTTCATCCAAAGCATTTAGTCAAGCAGACGTTGAATCACTGTAACCGATTCAGGTACAACTATAAGAAAGAAGATACTTTAAAAAGAACTCTCATTGATATAAGTTTTGTTTTGAAATTATAACATACATAGAAATCATTAATCTATTTCGAATCCTATCTATTACATATTTGTTCTTAAACAAAATAGACGCTGGATGGCAAACAATGTTGCCGTCGTTTCTTGTGTACTTAGCATTCATCAATTTCTGTCGCTGAATTACGCAACACTGCTCGCCAGTAAAGTCTCTGACTTTGAAACGGAATGACTCCAGTTTGAATCTCCAGCGGAACATCATTTTATTCAAAAGGGAAGATATACCTCTCTGATAAATGGCGATAAGAATGAAACCCAGGTCAAACAGAGGTTCCTGTGGATTTACTCCGAATGTTTGGATAAGGCTTCTAAAAATAAAAGCCGTTACACTAGGGAGTACCGAAATACCAATAAATTTTTCGATTCATTCTCATTCAATATCGCTAAAAATCTCTTATGTTATGTTGATTTTTAGGTTATGCCATACAGTCAAATTCATCTGCTATTGAAGATAATGACATACAGGTCACTGCGTCGGTACGCGTGGCTGACAGTAAAATAAGTGAAAATGGGACGAATGTCTCTCTCCCTATTCGCGTAAAATTTGGTAGCCAAGAAGTCACTGATAAGATGGATGGTAAAGTGTTCAGAGATGGAAACGAAACCCTCAATTTACTGATGAATGTTGTAAATGTAGACCAGAATGTGAGCGGCTTGATATATTCTCCCGGGTGAGTTTATATCATGTGTAGAATAGTAGGCAAACGTGACATTATTGAAACTTTATTCCATTCAAATAATTTTATTGCAAAGATTGCATTACGACGAACATAAAAGGTATTATAGAAGTCATATTCCAAAAAGGAACTGAAAGAGAAATATTTTACCTAGTAAATGCTTTTATGTTACTTTGTAACTAGAAAACACAATTCTTAGTCTCTAGATTCCCTCAAATCTTTGAAATAATGTGCATCAAATCTCAGTGACAGTTGGATGCTTCACCCTAAATCATATCTTCATTAGAAACAAATTTATAGTTTAAGCAAAAAGATTGAGGTTGTCAGGAATATAGCGGAAGAAAATAAGTTTACAAACTAAATATAATGATATTCGTACCTAGTTCTTACTTACATAATTGAATGCATTCGATTTACATAAACCTTCGCAATTCCATTCCACAATGTATCTTGAAAAATTTAACAAGATTTTGCTTAAAATCTTCACAATCTGATAAATAAACAGTATGTTACGAATTCGATTACGATAATAAAAACGTTTCTCGTGTCACTGACTTAGTACCTCAATCGAACACCTCAAATGGAAATATATGAAGATAAGAAGATATCAATGAGGTTCATCAACAGTTACAACAAAATAAACCCTAAGTAACATGACAAAATTTGTGAACTTTAGTCACATAACCACCAATTAAATAATTTGGACAGTTCAATTATATGTAAATTGATAATCATGCATTGAAACTAACTGTTTTTACGGGTAAGAGATTTTTTTGGAGTTAACTACATTTCCCAACACAATAACTTAAACCATGTATCTTATTAATGGCAAATAATCACTCCCTAGAACATTACTTAAATATTGTTCACTTTTCAGGCTCGTCATTGTTACTTCTCATAGTTTTACTGTGACAAAATGTTTGTATTAAGTGTTTACCATGAGACGACTATAACAAATCCCTAATAAATTAGAAATTTCGATAAACATGAGGTTTTGTTAGTTATTAGTAACTAGCCAATTTTAGACTTTTTTATATGATCTCAAAAAGCATAACATCAACCTATAATGATGAATGACACTAAGTTTAAACTACACATGGCAGAGAAAATAATTACGGTTAGTTTTGTTCATCCTCAGTACCAGAAATGTTACTAATTCTGTTTGCAGAAGATGTGACTCGTCAGATGGTCAAAAATCCGTTTCGCTTTTGTTTTTCCATGAAGTAGACGGTCACTGCTTCATAAAGTCTGTGCTGATTAAGAATCGCCTTGCCTAGTGACGAAAGGGCCACTAACAAACCTCACAGCTCATTTTTAACCTGGTTCAGAAGTTGTTTTGTTCTCTTAGGAAAGCATAGTAGGTTAACACATGATTGTTATCATAGTGTTATCAAGGCGTTATAGCCCGAGAACCAGTCAGTTAACAGTTAATTACTATTAAGCGCCAGTATAAAGAAAGGATGTCTATGGACAGCTCGACGAATACCAAATCAGTATTTTTCGGGAGTCTCCAGTTTGTAGTACTTGCATGTAATAAACAGTGCTTTCCAACACTGCATCTAAACCTAAAGGAAGTTGCATGATATACGTGGACTCAAACTCCTTACATTTTCATTCATTTTAGGCACAAACACACCTGATTGATACTTCTTGAGTAAAAGAATTACTTAGTATCACTCTACCACACATGGACAACTTCAAGTTTGATTAAATTGACTATATCCACATACATTTTCTTTGGTGATAATTAGTTTATCAAGTGACATTGCATAATTCTGACTCAGCTTTAATTCAAATGAATATATGTTTTTAAATTTCATATCCGATGAGCTTTATGTTAGTTCAAATGCAGACTGTTGTAAACTGCTGATTCACTGAAAAGTTACACTGTTAGCGGCAAGAACAGCTTGAAATGTATTCCGAAGTCTTTATTTACTTGAAATGAACTGCAAAAGTTTGCAGCTTTTAAAAAACGTTTGCATACAATTTTAATTCATTTCAGTGTCAAAGCTTTTTTCATCTTAGAGCTATAAAAGTGTGTCTTTTTTAGTGATGTCATAAATCTTAACACTGAGATTCGAATGCTGAGTACTTCAAGAGTAGAATGTTCAAAAGTAATACTGAATATCTACCATAGTATGATTATCAAGTCGGCAGAGATTTGGAACTCGTCCTCACCAGATTCTGTACAGTTTATACGAAACAAAAATGTCAGCGGTAAAGGAGTGACTCGTTTTGAGGTAAGTAGATAACCAAGCTTTTTAAAATATCGTATTCTGCATCCTGAAGACTACGGTAGGCGTACTATTCATATCTAAACATAAAATAAACTAATCTATTTCAGACTAAACTGAATTGGCCAATTATGGAAAAAAAGCCGAAATCTGAGTCAGCCACACGGAATGTTTTTGGAGGGTCTCTTTGTTTCTGTTCTCGCTGAGTGAATGTCATTAATTTGCCACTAACTTATGTGAGAACAGTTTGTCAACAGGTAGGAAAACCCAAGTCTTAATTTATTATTATTTGTCCCTTGGGTTCCTAATGGAACATAAGGCTTCAGTAGCACATAGCCAGTGAACTCTCTTCTCCGAAATCTTTTGAACCTGGCTCCACGACTACCTACAAGCTCTCATTTCCTCCTCGCACGATCTCCTCAATGTCGCCCTCGGCAGCGACGCCCAACTCGTCGCTTCCCATAGGGATTCCACTCGAGCAACTGGCCTGACGCGTGATGTCCCCAGTCGGCCTTCTCAGTGTATGACCGATCCAATCCATCTCAACTTCCTTCCAGTGCATATTTGTTGAGCGATAGCTTCTTGGTTGGTTCGTTACCAGGCAGCCAGAGTTCCTTGTTGCTTATTATTATTATTCTGGCCATCTGAGTTTCAGTAACGAGTCAGCGTAGGCAATTGTTGATGAACGTCTGTAGTTTGTTGGAAATGCCTTTCGTAAAGCGCCAAGTCTCTCAACCATCACATAGAAGCACTGACTTACTTGACTGAATTAGTGTTGAAAATCCGGATGTTGTTCATGCTTTATGCTGACTGCAGAAGATCTCCATACTGGTTTCAAGTTAATGAACGTCGATCTTGTAGCGTTTCTGATTCTGGCTGCTTTGACTTCCTCGTCTGTGCCGCCGCCTGTAGTTGAAACAGTGATGCCTAGATGGGTGAAAGAGGCTACCCTATTTAGATTCCTCCTGTTCATGGTGATAAGAGCTTGTTGCTGTTGTTGTTGGTTGGGTATCTTCATCACCTCTACCTCTGTCTTCTCTATATTCCCTTGAAGTCCCGTCTTCGATACCTTGCCTCTTCTGCCAACTTGTTAGCTTTCGCCTGTAGATCTTCAAGTTTGTGCGACAAGACATTAGACATAAGTCATCGGCAAAATCCAAATCTTCTAGGATCTTCTCCCCTATCCAGCGTATACCCCTCGTCTTGTTCCCTACTGTTCGTTGTATGATCCAGTCCACTACAATCAGGAATATCACGGGTGATAGTAGACGGTAGCCTTGTCTTACTCCTGTCCAAACTTCAAAGGCATCACTCAGCTTCCCATTGTGAATTACTTGCATGTGGTGTCCTCAATATAGTTGATGAATGAGACTGATAAGGGTTTCTGGCACTAATACCGTAGTGTTCAAGCAGATACCTGCCAAATTACTTGTCGGTCGATGCTGTCAAAAGCCTTTTCAAAGTAGACGAAGTTGAGGTAGAGTTGAGTTGACTGCCATTCTGTACTCTTCTCTACGATGATGCGTAGCGTAGCATTGCAAGTTGATTCGTACATGATTTGTTCCTCCTGAATCCAGCCAGCCAGCCAACCAGCCTGTTGTGGTTGTATTTTGAATCCAGCACATTGTTTAGTCTCTCCAGTATGATGCGACTTAATATTTTGCTTGCTTCGGGTGGACAGAAGTGGAGCATGATTCCACGTCAGTTCTTGCAAACACTGAGGTCTCCCTCCTTCGGGAGTTTGACATGGTAGCTCTTCTTCCAATTAATGGCCATGTACCATACCTTCCTTCCAGATTTTCTGCAATAGTGGTGTGAGCATGTCCGCTGTTTTCTCTGTGTCTGCTCTCAGTGCTTCTGGCGGGATTCCATCTGATCCTGCTGCTTTCCTGCACTTCAGTAGCTTTATGGAGCTCAGGACTCCGACTTTCGTTGGAGGATTTATATTCACTTATAGTTCTGTGGCTGGGCTGCAGGTATTGCTGGACGAAGTGCAGGTGGTGATCGATTCAAGAGCTTCTTGAAGTGGTCAGTCCATTGTTCCTTTGTTTCTCTTCTTTGGTGATTAAATTTCCGTCATCATCTTTGATTGGTTTCATCTGTGTTGATCTCTTCCCTACCAGAGAGTAACCTGGTTATTTGATACAAAGTTATCAGGTCTCTATCTATCTCTCCTACCTGCAACCTGTTCTGCTTCAATTGCCAGTGTATCGTAGAAGTGTCTTTTGTCTTTGTGTGCACTCTTGTTCACTTCTCTGTCAAGTGCAGTGTTTTATACATTGTACTCAGATCCTCTTCTCGTTGTGCGTCCTTGTACTGATTTATCTTCTGCTTCACCATCAACATCTTCCTCTCCCTGCTCTGTCATCTTCCATGTGTCCATCGAGATCCATTCCTCGTTTCATCTTCTTTCTTCTTCCTTCATAATACGGTTATGCAGGTTTCTTTCCACATCTCTTTCAAAGACTTCCAGTGTTCATCTACACAGGTTTCTTCAGGGATGTCCCTCGATATCTCCCATTTCGTCTTGATGGCTGACTGCCGTGAAGATTTCCTTTGTAGTTTCGTCCTTCAGTTTCCGTATGGGTGTTGTACTTGAACTGTGGTCTATCACCAGTTTCCTTGAAGGCTTTTAGCTTGATTTGGAAGGTTCCTTGCACTACGCAGTGAGTGGTGTGAACCTACATCTGCTCCCATTCTTGACCTTGTGTCAAGTAGGCTGACTGCGTCTCCACTTTGTACACATTAGGATAAAGTCGATCTGATTTTTAATGTGTCCTGGTGTCTGATGAAATCCTCGTCGCTCGCTTTGTGGATATCCTTGTGTTTGAACACATTGCCTGACTCCAATCACCAAATCGTTGAATGCACAGAATTCTGCAAACAATTCTCCATTCTCGTTCATCACCTCACCGAGCGCTTCTCGACCCATGGTTAGTTCTCTTCCCGGTATTTTTCGCTCCCAGTTTGGCATTCATGTGCAATGAAATATAAAGCTTTTAAATATAAATATTAACGTGGTATCTTACGTATAAGAATAGGGTTTAAGTTTAAATAAATCTGTCTTTCGAATAAGATAATGCTCGTATGATACAGTATATGCATATTCTAGTTAAAATTACTTTGCCTTTCACTTTTATATCACCTGCATATTAATAGTATATCACGCTCTACTGCTGCTTTAAGAAACTAAGCACAAACATTAGCAAGCAGATAACTTGGTTCAGCGTACAGAGGAACGAGCGTAGTATGCAATGTAATTCTGTCTGCCCCACTGGTAGTATAATACAGAAGTACAACTTTGCTAGATCTTTAGAGGCTTTTACCCTACCGTCAAAAATGTCCTCCTCAAGGCTCTAACTAAGTCTCCTTGTTGTTTTCTCAGTTCTGTGATTTCACAACATCGCAATCTTATGGGTGAATATTAACAAGAATAAATACGGTAGTGAATTTTTATTTCAGGAAAGTTATATTGATACTTCGATAAATTTAATCGGTAGTCAATCGTCAACAAGCGTTAGCTTATTCCAAAATGACCCTCTGAAACTAAAATGTCAGGTAATACGAAAGTCAAATACCCGGACGTAACAAGTGTAGACGACAAATACATTCCAATTACCAAAAGAGACTAAATAATAGTTTAAAATGCTTGGTAAAGACATCTTCCTGGTTTTTTGCATAGACATCGACTGCCTAACATTCGAGAAATTTCGTGTTAACTAACTCTGTGAAATGTACTGACGTTAACTCAGTCTGAAAGTAGTATTATTGTCTGAAAAAGCACATCAGATCTAGATTATATGCTTTTCTCATGCAGATCTCGAAAATGTTTCAGTTTACTGAAGCTTTAATTATTTACGATAACGAAATGACTACACAACATGCAATATATTTTTCATTTATTTTCCACAAGTTAATTCAACAACAATGTGACGTGTGTTGCATAAAGCCATCTAACTGACAGTTACCTTCTCACAACTTCGAGAAGTAATAGCAAATATTCACAAAAACGATGAGTAATTAAACTCACAACTTCATTCTTCTAGTAGAACTTTCAACTCATTTGTTTTATCATGAATTTCTGCTTCTTTTGTAAACAGGCACCAGGCTTCTTTTTTGAAAATAGTATAACTCTATACTTACAACTGGTTTTAAATGAAATTATTACATTCCCAAATGATAAAACAGAGGAGAATCTAACTTTGATAGTTGAACTTGTTTGTCCTACCAACAGTCGCAACCCGATTTCAAAAGATACTTGTAACGTTTCGTCAGTGAAAAGAATTATGAAAGCTGTTGTCATTAAAGTAAGAAAAATGCAGGGTGTAGCAAGTGAGTAACTGTCAAGGTCGAAGTAATTTTTATATTCTACACAAGATAGATTATTTCTAAATTTTACATATCCAAGGCGGTTATTCATGTTTACTTTTTTAATGCATTAAACGATGACAGCATTATGTATCCACAAATTTTTGGCCAGCTGCTTGGACTTCGGGCCACCAGAGAAATTCTTCAACAGACATATCACATCGAATTCTTCCCTTTCAGTTTGTTTTAATTTTTTAAATATGTCCTCCAAACGTAAAACGTACTTTTGTGGATATTCAAAAAAAGGAAGAAAAATCCATATTAGACAGAAATAAATTTTTTTGAGTGCACAAAAATACATCACATTTCTGTTCTTCGGATACCTGTCCCGAATAGTACATTCTTCTACTGACTGAATAAACTACCTCCACCATCTACCAGACGCTAATCCAGCACATACCGGCTGCTCCACATTATTACCTTTGATGCTGTAATTGTGAACATCATTCAGACGCCATAACCATTTCGTTTGAAAATATTCTTTTTGGAAAAAACCTGTTAATTTATTATATGCTGAGAATTCCATACTGTATCAGTCATATTGTTTGGAATAAAGCTATTATTATTATTACTTAACCACTGACTCCAAGGTGTAGCACGAACATACTGTGCCTTTTCATCAGCTACTCTACAAACGCAACCTTTCTGAATGATTGTTGCTTCATATATGAAAACTAGTACAGCAAACCCCACACATAGTTGTATCAAAAACACAAAGCAATTTTGTAATTAGCTCACGACAAAAAGTGACAGCCACAAGGTAATCTTCAAACGCAAATTACCATACATTCATTGAGGGTACCATGCGTACATCAATTGATGAATATGCCTAATTTAAACCGAATGATTACAGAGTAAAGCTACCAGTAGCATACTAAGCAAACATGTTAAGTGATTCCGACTGCATCTAAAATCATCAGTGGGTTCCATTTATTTTTCTACTATGATTTTTCACAGATGTACAAAATTTGCTGATCAGTTTATACATCAATAGGAGTGATGTAAGAAGTAAAGCTACTTCAGTAACCTAGAGCTAGTATAACATGACTGGTTTCTACTGAAAAACGGCCTACCATTTTAACTTCAATGTGATTCACCATGGAAGAATATTTTCGAATAATCCCAAACCTATTGCTACTGCCTAAACTTGAGAACATTCTACTACTTACCAAATTATTGTTTCAACTGTTAGGCTACTTGAAATTTGAAGGGAATTTGCACCAGTGGATATAGAGTAGTTGTCCATTACTATTTGTCGTCGTATCTAATCCACTTGTACATTTATTAATATATGCTGTAGCAGATGAGCCACAATTAAGAAACATTATTTTCCTTGCTGTTGCCAGATATCCTGCCACAGAATAGTGCCGATGTTGCAGTACTGTAAAAATAATTCCCAATTACCTAAATACTAAGATATCTTGAAGACAATCATTTCATAAACATATTTGTCAATTCCAAGCATACAAACTTTTCAAAGAAGCCGCCTCACCACACATTTTTGCTGTAATACTGTTCAAATGTAGGTACTTCGTTTACGATACCTTAAGATATTAATTAGGCGGTCGGCAATCCATTCAACAGAAACTTTAACCACCTGCTGTTTATTTTCAATTATATGTAACAGTATTGTTTTCATTGAGAATACTAACCAATTAGTTCAACAACTTTTACAAATTTTTTTCAGTGATTTTATTTTAATGCTATTTTAAGCAGATGTATCACCGACTGCTACAAAAATAAACAGTAGGATTTCTCGGACACTGAAGTGCACAGAAGAACACAAATACGTATACATGTAACTTCTTTCTTGGTGGTCAAAATTAAAATTCTAGATATGTGTTTCATCCTATTTAAAACTCTTCACTTGTATATATATATATATATATATATATATATATATATATATATATATATAATTACAGTAAATTTTATGTTAGCGGCATTTTATTATAAATTTTTGGATTAAAACCGCACTGTACATTTGTAGCCAGTTAAAATGTGAATCATCTAAAACATTATATTTTATTAGAAATTAATTTCAATTCATAATTTTTTTACGTTACAGATCAAGTTTGTCAAGAAGATTTGGGACTCTCAAATAGTCAGGTCATTCAGCCATGTCAGATATCTTCATTTATATCACCGTATCCTGGATATGACCAGGAAAATATTAGATCCAGTTCAGTGTTCGGATGGAAACCATTTGTTCGTCCAGGACCTTATAAATCCTTACGCTACCTAACTATTTTATTCGGTAGACAGACAAATATTAGTCGAGTCAATCTTAATTTGATTATTAGTACAAACAAAATTAATAAACTTATTATAATGGGAACTAACGACGGAAAATCCTTTGCCAGTTTTAAAGTGGTAAGTCTTCATGATGTATAACTGGATTGGATTCAGCACAAATCCCTGAAAATAATATTATATTACGTCAATTTTTATGTTCGACTTAAATTATCTTCCCTTTAGAATGAACATGAAAAATCAAGTACAATCATTCACTTCATGTTTGTTTCTTGCTGATAAAAAAGTTTTAATTGTTAGTTTAATCTCTCAAAAAGGAATTAGACTTTTCACAGATCGAAATAAGTAGAGAACAAATGTATCGTCTCCACTCTTAACTAAGTCTATTAGTTCTCAAAACTGACATTTTTAAAAACTTTTATCCTCAATAATTAGAATTTCTGCCGAGAAAATTTATTGTCGTGAAACGTGACATAATTAATGGCTAACGTTTTTTTCGATAGACATTTCATCTGAAGTCCAGCTACTGACTCATCTTTGTGAGTGCATTAAACTAATTTTATTCTCAAGAACTTGTACTCCGAATTTCCTAGATTGTATAAAATAACATACCATAGTAGTGGTTGGAAAATTTTGGGATGCCTTGAACACAGCCGCATAAAAGCTATGTCAAATAGGTTATAATAAACTTTTCATGTTACTTCTGTTTTGAAAAATGAGACTGAATGACTTTTCCCGATTAAGGCTACATGTGACTTTAATATCATATCAAAGTAACCAACAGAATCTGAAGGGATCAAACTGAATGAACTTGAAAATCAATAGAAATGGACTTACAAATACTAAACAGACTTACTTAAGTATTTAGGTATATAAACTTTCGGGGTTGTGGCTAGCAGAAGAATCCAGGACTCGCGTATCGTCCCATTTGGGACTCTTCAGGTGTATGTATCTGAACCCCAGTGAGTGATGTTGCTCCTACTAAGACCCGGACCTCGTACCCATCACTTCAAATGCCAAGGTGCTGTCCACAAGGCCAGCGAGTCACGATAGCCACCTCTTGTACGGCGGGTATTAGCTGTTACTGTATGTTGATATGCTGGTTATTTTTTGTTACTTTACTCGATCAAACTGTTCCACCTCTATTGGCTTACGGGCAACTATGCAGATGCCTCGATACTGCCTAAATATTAATTACGGTAATTTGCCCATTTCGATCCAATGAAACAACGGATAATTACAAGCCTAATAATAAATAGCAACAACTAATACCTACTGAACAAGGGGTGTCCATCATGACTGGCTGGTCTTGTGGATAACGCTTTGACGTCTGGAGTGATGGGTACGATGTTCGAGTCTCAGATGGAACATCACCCTCTGGGGTTCATATACATCCACTTGGCGAGTCCCAAATGGGACAGAAAGCGAGTACTTGACTTTCCTGCTAGCCACAACCAAGTAAATTACCGTAATTAACATTCAGGCAATATCAAGGCATCCGCAAAGGGCCCATATGCCAATAGAGGTCGAACAATTTGATGGAGTAAAACAACAGAGAATTACAAGCGTATGAATAAATATAGACTTTCATTTAAAATTTCTTTAAGTTTCTATCACGTGATCATTTCCTTTTTATCAGACTACTACTCTGGGTAGTACAAATAAGTGTGAAGTGTGAGTGGCAAAATTAAATTACTTGACTTTATACAAACCTTCCTAATATATTTCATAGATTTTCTGGATACAAAATGTACTTCGGTGAACAGGTTTGAACTTCTCATTGAGATGAGAAACACAACGTTAGTAAAAAGAGGATGAATTTGCTTTATTTTGTGGTGTGCTTTCAGTTATACATGATCCGTACTAAGACAAGCAGAATATTTTTGTTATATGGTGGAACAAACCACACAATTTAAGAATCAGGTAGGCTCTCTCATCAAACCTTTGCATACTCATTTATTAAGTAACGAGCGATGCTTTTTGACCCAGGGCTAATAATAATACTTGGATCCACAAGCCTCAGTATGTAGAGCATAGTCCGGATGCATGATTTACTAGTTGAAAGCCGGTATATTCTAGTGCACAAAGACTCCCTTTTACACCACAAAAGTAGGTTATTCCACATGATCCATATTTCTTGTACTTGGTCACTGAATTATACATTACTTTTGCAAAACAAGAAGTCACATCAGTTCACTATGCAAGATCACTCTTAAAAAAAGGGGTTACCTCTGTCTCCGAAATAATAGATTCAAAAATTTTCACAGCCAAAAAGTAGACACAAAACTGAGTAAGACTACTTCATTCCCTAAATCTTGTTCTTTGAAACGACACCGGCAAAAGGTAGTGGGACTATTAGCTTGAAGTGCCTTTCTCTCTTAGCAACTTTATTACTTATAAAACACTTTTTCCTTGAGAAAGAATCATGAGCAGCTACAGTAAACAATTGTTTGCTGGTGATAAAATGCTGACAAACCACTACTGCCTTTCATAAATATGAACTAAACCTACAATAATCTAGGTGTTTAACTTCTATGAATAATGAACATTTAGTGCTTACATTTGATACAACCAGAAGTTAATTTCCAACTTTAAATTTACAGGTAGAGGTTTCGTACAAAAATGCAAGCTCTGGTAGCATACTTCTTAATCCTTATTTTGTTGCAAGAGGTATCCGACTGGCTGTCAGCGAAACAGAAAATGAAGTCAGTGACGTCGCTTTTACACTTGATATCTATGGATGTAGACTAACTTTGGATTCAAAAACGTTTGGTAGGTCATTTTATATCTTGTAAGTATTAGTTACTATGTAGAATAGCTTCATTGAACTCCAATAATTGACTATCCTAATTGGATACAAGTAAAAAAGCTCTTAGTCGGTAAATGCTTGCAGAATTTTTAAAAATCTTATCGACGTACCACGTCGAGTATCAGTGTATATTAGTTAAAATTATTTAACAGTAGTCATTCGTTCTTTTCGTATTAGTAGAAACAGGTACCTGATATCTATTTTTCTTTTCATGGTACTGAGTAACATAACTGAAAATTTCTCCCCAAAAGTTCGTAACAAGCATCGAGATTAGTGCAGTGAAACTAGTGTACTTTTTCATAATTATCATATATTCGAAAGTCTATATATGTATATATATATATATATATATATATATATATATATATATGTTACCTAAGTGAGAAAAGTGTTTTTAAAAAACTTGATTTTGAAAACAGCGCCGACATCTACGAACCAAAGTATGTGGAAAGTAGCATGATAAGCACAGCTCAACAGACATGGGTTGAATTCTGGGACCGGTTAAATTTTGAACCTATCATAATCAAGTACAGTTTCACAGTTTTGAAATAAATTTGGCCATTCAGCGAATACTAACCAATATTTTAGCGTTTATAAATTAGATCAAACTCATAGTGGTCCAATCAGGTTTTAATTGTTTCCTAAAATAAGGAGGATTTGGAAATGCATTTCAAATAGAATGCAGGTGATGGAACACTTGTTTGGTCACTAAAAACAGTCTGGTTGTTTTTCCTAGGTAAATATCCATAGGAATGCGTGGTTTTTAATCGCCATCTAAAATGTATCAATTAGTGTTCTAACTAGCTGCTTTTTCAATGTTAGTTGTGACCCTCCGTTAAGTGTCCTTCATTATCCTATTGGTAACATTCCACAACAATTTTCACGACGTTTTCACCTCTGGCAAGCCATGGTTATCTCTTAAATATTTCGAAATAGGCTTCAGTGACGTCATAATGAAATAAGCAGTCAAACAAACGAATCTATACAATTTAAAGCTCTGTAAGTTTTTGTCCATATACATTTCGAAATAATATGCGATTTGAACCGTGCATTGATTTTATGGACACAAGTAGGTAGACAGTGACGTCAGTCTCAAAAAAAATAATAAATGTGACGGTTGCTATTTACCTGCTGATTACTATTCCAGTAAAAGTATTTTTCTTCGAAATACTTAATTATTTTATACGTTATTTACCACTGTAGTCAAAATCAATAAACAACTGTAGTTCCATTATCTTATGACAGTTTCATCGTTTTATTTTCAGATCCATGCAGTATTCATGATCCATACAACAGTGCATCAAGAGACAGTGTACGCAGTTACCTTCGTGTTAACGATTACCTTTTCTACTGCGATCTATTTCCTACTGGATCACGATGCTTTGTGACATATGGAAGTGCTAATATGAAGTGGACCGGTGAGTATTTCAGCATACACTTTGAATTAAATAAAACCATAGATATTCTTAAAAGCTGCACAAAATGTAGGTAAGGATTGGAATGTAAATACCGTATTGTCAGCTCGTCTGGAAATTTTGATGACGGTGAGCTAAAATACTGTGTTTACATTTTTATTTATTCTCTCACTTACTATTCAAATATTGAGATTACATATTTAGGAAACGAAGATTTTAACGGGTAGTTTTAAGGGTGACGGTTAAGAAATATTGTGCTCAGCAGTAGCTTATAGAAAATGTGTTTATCACACCAGCTAGAAACAGAATCGGCTACTTCACTAAGTAACTACTCTAATTCATATGAAAAATAGTTCAGAAAAATCCGAGTGTAATGGAAAACGTTAGAGGCAAGATTTACATTCACCCAAACAATGCAAACCAATTGAGATAAAGTCCGAAATCTAATTCTTTATTAGAAGTTACAGTATATCTCCTGTCAGTGTATCTACAGACAAGAGTATTGTTCTAGTTCATCTTAAAGATTAAGAAACTTTTCCTACATAACATCAAACTCATTCACTGGAATCACAGAAAAATAAAACAGGAGATAGCAATTTTTTATCTTTCATGAGAAGCACTTACGTAAAACTGAATTCCAACATATTAGCAGAGATAATTTACTGAAACGTTATAATCGGTAGTGAAAAAAAGTCAAACCCTAAAATAAAATGACATTTACAAGCTTTCTTCTCGTTCGACATCTCAGCATGTAGTGTTCTTATCCACTAAACTTCTACTTGATACTGTGCCTTCTTCCCTCCTGAATCTTCACCAGTCAAGTGTTATTGCTTCTTATGTGTGCTGATATTTCCCTTTAAGCATTCACATCAATAACATTACCAGAATATTATTGTGTGCTACTCCATCTTTTGGTAGCCACACTACTTAAATGTCTTTCGAGCATTTTATAATCAGGTAGTTTCTAAATATTGTTCTCTAATCTAACAATAAATTTAAGATAGAAGTATGAAACCAGGCAACTACGATTTTGGATAACACATGATAAAATATACTGTACTGAGCGCTGAACAATCTTGGTTCATAGACAGAAATATGACTATGACAGAAATCACAAAACTACTTTATCAGTTTTATTTTAACGCAGTTAAAGTCTCATACTATCTACTTACCCCTTTAGTAATGAATCCCTTTCTTCGTTATTAAAAATATGACATAATATCCGTACCTTACTGATTAGGTTATTGGTGCAAGTGCAAATCGAAAAAGAAGAACATCAAAAGTTAATTTTCACATACTTTTGCTCCAGGTATACACCTTGGTTTACTCTTGTACATAGTATGACAGTAGCTTACCTAGAAATACATTGACTGATGAGAACCATTATATATGCTTCATTTGCTAGTGAATTCGCATTACAAATGAAGTCGGTCTCGATAAAGAATTACTTTATATGAAATTAAACGATACTTCACAAGTTTATCCAAAAACAGCTACTCATCATACGTCAGCCAGAAACTCTCCTCAACTTGAATTTGGATTTGTCAGGACTTGCATAAGCCAACTCAGGAGAAAAGGGCCCTCCCAGAGATTCAAAACTTCACGGTCAATGAAATACTGTCTACTCATTATTGATGACAAATTTTCATCTATAAGCCTGCACTTTAGTCACCAAGTTAGTAGACTCACCATTATGGTATATGTCTGCTGACTGTTGGTTTTTATAAGTGTTCTACAAGAACCACTGAACAATGAAGAGCGTTAGCTATTGATATGATAAATTTTCATGAAAAAAATTCTTTTTCCGTCGTTCATATATTTCATAGTAACACAATTATAACATCTCATTGACTTGAATGGTCACCAAAATATGCAAAAGAGAATTCACTTCCTTTTTAGCAAGCGTCTAAACCCATTGCATATAAAAAGCACTTTGATATTCTAAGATTTTCTGAAAGGTGTTTTACATAAACCGAAACTGTTCAACATTTACTTTTTTGGTCCCAATAAGCTAATGAATTCATGACATTCATACTGAAGAGTTTTAAAAGTTCCCAACATGTAAATTATAACAAGACATTCAGGCGAACAATATTGTTTTCAATTAAATCCTCAATCAGACCCTCAAGAAACTAGAAGGAAGTGTGACAGTTTATGAGTCCACATACGACTCACTTAGACCTACAGGAAGTAATACACCATGGTTGGTCCATCTAAAGTACACAAACCTGAACTCACTCTTCATCCAGTTTTAAACATGTCTAACTCCACATATCACGCAGTTGTTAAGTGGTTAGTAAGAATTTAGATTTACAAAAATCTCCCCCAAAGAATTAGTTAACTACAGTGTAAAAGACTTCTTTGAATTTATTTCTAAGCTAGATAGTGTGAATATCAACGGAAAACATATGATATCACTTGATATCTCATCTCTATTCAATAATGTGCCATTACTGGAGACGGCAGAGTTAGTCAACAAATATCAGGAAGGCAAATCAGCATCGGGATTCCTGTACATACCCTCAAGGAGCTGCTTCTTGAATGTACTGTGAATGTACATTTTGTCTCCAATACCTCTCATTATAGATAGATTGATGGTATACCTATGGGTTCACCACCTGGCTCTATTTTAGCTGATATACTTCTTGCCAAACTGGAGAACGAAGCATTGGAAAGTATCATTGATGAGATGACTATGTATTACCGTAATACTGACGACACATTCATTATCCTGGATCAGAATGTGGATACGAATGAGGTGTTAAAAAAATTTAATGAGGTGCATCCTTCACTCACTTTCACCTGTGAGAAAGAAAATGCGAGTAAACTACACTTCTTGAATGTCTTGCTAAGTAGAAGAGAAGGTTCGCTCAGCAAATTTTTTTAGAGAAAGATAACATCTATAAGTCAGTACACATATTTTCTTAGTCAAGTACCAGTTTGTTACAAAGCAAACCTGGTTAAATGCCTAACAAACATAACGAGAAGAATATGTTCAGACGATCCTGTACAGAAAGAGTTAGAGTATATTCGTAATTCACTAATTGAAATAGGCCGCCCTAAAAGTTTCGTAAAAAGACATATGAAGAAAGCTAGGGGAAACAAACCTGGAGTTATAGCCATACAAAAGAGACCGTTGTTTATGAAGTCGCAATTTAATGGTTAAGTAGCCAGAGAAGCTTTATATCAGAGACTCTCTATAGCCACTAAGCGGAGCTTCTACACCTCACAATTCTGCCTGTCATTTTCCATTAGACAGATTGCTGCTGCTCAGACAGAAGATAAGGTATCTAGTCTTGCTATTTCTGCGTGTATTTACAGGTTTAGCTGCTCCTGTAGAGAAAGCTGTATGGGGCGTACTACCAGACAACTTAACAGACGTGTTGCTGAGCACTTACCTTCATGGTTGGAAAAGGAAAGATAAAATCTATCAGAAGTTCGGTTTCATGTCACCTTGTTGACAGTAGTCACCTAGTAGATAAGAACAATGCTTTCACGATTATTCACTGCTTACCATTTTATCTTTTGAAAGGTATTCAAACTCGCCTTTTACACACAGCAGAAGCTGTACGAATTCGAGCTAATAAACCTGGTCCAGGAGGAATTTTTACATCCCATATCTCCCTCTTTACCAGGAAATACTTAGTTAATAACTTTATCATTCAGTTTTTTTCCTATCCCTTTCTTATTCCCCATCCCTTTCATTTACTTACTGTATTTGTCTAAACCTTTTTTATCCACTTACCTCGTCCTTCAGCATTAGGTAACTTTTATTTTCCCAAGCTTTCAACCCACTTTGATTATCTGAATGTCTACATTTTTATGCTGTTTTCTTTGTTCTTATCATCATTATCACCTACATTGCATGCGTTTAGTCAACTTTATCACTTTCATCATGATTATTATCTGTATTACTATCACCATCGTTACTTTAGAACATTTGTCACATCAACCGACAAATCTACATGACTGGTGTAATTTTATGTTAAGCTATTTGTATTACAGTAGAGCCTGAAGAGGATCCAATTGAAAACAATATTTTTCGCTTATATGCCTTGTTCTAGTTTACATTACTATTTGTTATGCTATAAACTGATGTCATTCAGTAAGGTCATTAGGTACAAGAAAAAGAATCCCATGTAGATCGAAGAACAAGGCTATCATAAGTGGTTCACAAATGAGAAATAACGACTCTTGTTGGCTTTCGAGATCTAGTTGTTCATCAGTCTTCAGCAAAGTATTAGGTATAATTAAAATCTTACTGGGTTTATGTCGTACTTAACACGATCTTCTATAATATGCCTTCGCGCTCGAGCATATTTTACTTTTAACTGTGAGAAATATGACAAGGACAGTGGAAAAACGAAATTTTCACCACAAATTTAAATGAAATAAAGACATTATTTTAAAGATGGCATGAAAATTCCTGCCAAGTGAGGATTTGGACAAAAGATAACACCCCTAACAAGCAAATTTCTCCCAAAAGTATGCAAAAATTCCCTGAATTATTTCGGTTATGAAGTAGTCAGAAAAATCCTTTTAAGTGACTGATATGTGATAGGCTACTTGCAGTTGCTTAAGATAAACCATACTTCATTTACAGACATAGTGGCTGAAAATGGTAAGAACAGTATGCTTTAAGCTCAAGTCTGAATCAAAAAATAATTTTCTTTTCCACTTACAGACTTGGGACCACATATAACTAAAATTCTGACTTTTATAAGTCCAAGAAATATTATATTCGCTCAAGGTCAGGGTTACAACAACTTTCTATTCAGTACTGATTACGGGAAGAAATGGAGTTCAACCAATTTATTTACATACATCAAACTAACCAGGGAAGCAACTTCCTACATTAATTCAACCATAGTACCCTGGATTGTGACTGCTGGAAAGTTTGATCAAAATATTACGGGCACGTCCTGTCAGTTTTATCAACAAGGTTCATTTCAATGTAAGTTCTATTGCTTTCCTCAGATGCGAGCTTTAATATCTAACTGCATACTGTTCATTGTAACGGTTGTAAATTCTTGTAGTTTCTGTATACTTTCAGCATAAATCGTGAAAAACTTCTTTCAGGTACCAATTTAGGCATCATTTTATAACAACTTACTATTTCTGTCATGTTACCAAAAATTTGCACACTAAGGAGTGTGAGAAATGAAATTCCAATACTGTATCTTTTATTTAAGCATTTCGAGTATGGATAACGATTTAAAACTACCTAAAAAGTAGGTTATGCTTGATTTAAAAACTATATAACATATTCGTTTTTAAGCATTATATTTTCAGATTCTTTGAGCAGACGAACAGTGATGTGCAATGAGAAAGGTTTTTGAAAATTTTGCTTCTTACTACATAAGTCAACTTAGGATTGGTCATGATGGTAGTAAATTCTTCTCAGAAGTTAGTAGTGTACTCATGTTGCACGGACATTGGTGATATGAAATTTAGCTGAACAGTGAATGAATTTGATGGTAAAAATGGATAATGGCTGACAGTGTAGTCCGAAACACGCGTTTTCTTCTTTCTAAGACTAGTCAGCTGCTTGTCTGTAGATGAGATGTAACCTTTTGGGAGGTAGCCGAATTACAAAAACAGAACAAGAAATCCTAATTCAAACTGAAGATTTCACTATACGTTATGTCATCACGGTCTACAAGAAAACAAAGCTCATTTACACAATAATAACAATGAAACTTATAAAGACGAATTATACTAAGAAATACTAATAAAATATTCCTACAACATTAGTATTACGTGGGCACAAATTGTGTAAAAGTAGTGTATGTATGCAGTCAATAGTCAACCATTAAAGTATGTACAAAACACATCCAGGTTGCAATGTTTTTCTATCTCATTATAAGTATGAAAATTTGGTGATGGTTACTAAGTTTCTTTCATTGCGAATATCATTTCTGATGTATTCTGGTTACCTTCTCTTGCACTGAGAACCTAACTGTAGTTTAAATAAAACCCTCAGAGTGATTCATGAAAAAAGATATTATTTTATTTTAGGAATTCCTGCCCACTACCAACGACCTGATGAACACTAACAGTTAGCTTAAAAGCATTTGAAATATTTACTGGATTTCATAAAGGCTGACCAAATATGGAAGTATATCCGTTTAACAAAATCTTAACAAACAAACGTTTAACCCAGCATCTAAGATATAATGGCGATATATGGATAATATTTACTGTGTTGATAATGGGACATATCGACAATTTTCTCACACACACATAAACTTAGCAGTAGGCCCAACTCAGTTCACATATGAAGTGAACAAAGAAAATTATCCCTGTTGGATCTCAGGATAAAACCAAGGAAAGAAGGTGGTTTGGATAATACTGTCTAGAGAAAACCGAAACATTCCAAAAGGTATTTAGACTTCAAGTCATCCCACACAATGCCGTTTCATGCAGGCATAGTCAAATGTCTAAGTGACTATTCTCATTATCATTTATTTGCCCTTCGGTTCCTAGGGGAATACCGAGCTTCAGTACACCATCGCCAGTGTACTCTGTTCTCCACAATCTGTTCAACCCAGCTCAACGATCGCCCAGATGTTTTCATTTCTTCCTGAAACCATCTCCTCCATGTCACCCTCGCCTCCGACGCCAAACTCGTTGTTTACCCCTTGGATTCCACTAGAGGGCGTGAACTGATGAGTGATGTCCCCAAACGGTCTCCTCAGTGTACCTCAATCCATCTCCACTTTCTTCTGCATATTTGTTGGGCGATGGACTCTTGGTTGGTTCGTTGCCAGCTAGCCAGCCAGAGTTCCTTGTTGCTTACTCTTATTATTCTGGTCATCCGATCTGATCTTCAGTATCGAGTGAGCGTAGGTGGTAGCTGTTGAGGAATGTCTATAGTTTGTTGTTCGTAACGCGTCAGGTTTCTGAAATATACAAGCACTGACTTGACGTCGGTGTTGAAAACCGGATATTGTAATTTATACCGATGGGGGGGGGGGAGGTGCAGTAGATCTCCATACTGGTTTCAGATTAGTGAAAGTCTGTCTTGCTGTCTTTCCGATCCTGGCTGGCTTTGACGTCCTCATCTACGCCGCCGCCTGTAGATGAAATGATGCTGCCTAGGCAGGTAGGTGAAAGAGACTACTTCCTTCAGATTCCTGCCGTTCATGGTGATTAGAGCCTGTTGTTGTTGGTTGGATATCGTCATCACCTCTGTCTTCTATAAGTTCACCTGAAGGAAGTCCCGTCTTTGCTGCCTCACCTCTTCTGTCAACTTGTAGGTTTTTGTCTGCAGATCTTCGAGTGTGTGCGACAAGACATTGGACACAGTACATCATCGGTAAAATGCAAATCCTCTAGGGTCTTTTCATCAGTCAAACAGCGTATGCCCGTCTTCTCACCCCTCACACTTTCTTGCATGATCCAGTCCAGTCCAGTCGATCGCTCTCAGGAAGATCATGGGTGATAGTAGACGGTAGCCTTGTCTTACTCCTGTCCAAACTTCAAAGGTATCACTCAGCTTCCCATTGTGAATTGCTTGACATGTGGCGTCCTCTTGTAGCTGTTGAATGAGGTTGATAAAGATTTGTGGAACTAATACTGCAGTGTTCAAGCAGATACCTGCCAAATTACTTGTCGGTCGATGCTGTCAAAAGCTTTTTCAAAGTCGACGAAGTTGAGGTAGAGTTGAGTTGACTGACATTGGATGCTCTGTTCTATGATGACACGTAGTGTAGCATTGCAATTTGATTCGCACATGATTTGTTCCTCCTGAATCCAGCCAGCCAGCCAGCCAGCCAACCAGCCTGTTCCGGTTGTATTTTGAATCCAGCACATTGTTTAGTCTCTCCAGTATGATGTGACTTAATATTTTGCTTGCTTCGGGTGGACAGAAGTGGAGTATGATTCCACGTCAGTTCTTGCAAACACTGAGGTCTCCCTCCTTCGGGAGTTTGACATGGTAGCTCTTCTTCAAATCAATGGCCATGTACCATACCTTCCTTCCAGATTTTCTGCAATAGTGGTGTGAGCATGTCCGCTGTTGTCTCTGCATCTGTACGACTGTGACTATCCTTCCTTTTGAGTTGAATCCATCTTGTTGTCATGTTGCTGATCCTGGAGGAGGAGGAGGAGGAGGTTGGTTCCCACTGCATGAGAGAGAGACTTCGATGCACTTGGCGACATCATGATAGCCACTCCAAAACTCAGTGTCCTTGTGGTTGTCATTTGGGTGACACTATCGGAGTAGATTATTGACTCTTCAGTTGACAGTTTGCAGTCCACTTCCATTCCATCTGCTTTCGCAAATTCCTAGCACTTCAGTGTGATACCTTCTCATTTCCTCTGCAATCTGGGCAGCCTTGCTAGCTTCAAACATTGTGCGGACATTCTATGTCCCCACGTTTACTCTCGCTTTCATCGAGAGAAGACAAATCGGCCAATTGGCTTCCCGAAGGCTTTCACCAACCGGCGTCATTTCGTCTCTCCGATCCCAGCGAGAAATAATTTGGTTTTATTTTTTATATTTTGTCTGTGCTTTTAAGTTTGTTTAGCGGTTGGATTAGTTTTCTGGGGTAGAGTTGCTAGCCGTATGCCCAACCTTCCCTCTTTACCCGAGCTCAGGACCGGCTGGTAACTAGTGAACTAGTTAACCAGGCGAGGTTACCTATTGACTTAATTTTAATTTCCCCGGTTAAAGAACATTTAGACGTGAAGTGTGGAACAAAATAAGTCTAACGGAAACGTATCTTCAGTGAGATTAAGTTAGGCAAAATGTAAGTTCTTCAATTCCGAAATATTCCTAATATTATGCTTCTACATTTTTACAACTACTTATTTCTTCAGTTTCGATGAGGTCGTTATAACTTGTGTTCTTTACCACCGCAGCAGTCTATGAGCAGAGAACTTACAAATTAGGACTAAGTGAAGTCCCAAGTTAGACAAATTCTTGTTTATTCTACCAACGGTTTAAGCACTGGCTCAAAGGGTGGTGTGCTATTCAGCTAACTATCCATCCCACCCTAGATAATTCAGATTGAAATTTGTTCGCGTCAACTTTTCAGTTAATGTGAGCAAAGTCAGGAGTAGAAGCATGGTGTATTTAAAATAGGAAACCGAATTTCGCTGTTCACTGCTCTCTTCACTTTTACTCTTGAAGGAAAGCTCAGTGAGTATCAATGAAATCACAGAACAAATATAAAGCAGTTACACAAAAATCACTTCAAAACAAGAAATAATCAAATTTTCATTAAGGACTCAGTGACTTAAACATTAGTCTAACCAACTTATCAATAGCAACAATCAATGGATGAAAATAGGCGAATAATTTCTAAAAACTCCTGAGATGAAAGTAAATTAGTACCGAATTTCTCCCATATAAATATACACATATATGTATACAAGCATGAAGTAACCTTTCAACTTCGAAAGTTGATATTCAGTGAACACCTTTTCTCTTTATGACTAATGAAAATACCAGCATTTTAGAAAGTGCTGTGATTTCGCTTTAGGAATTCGCATTCTTAGTAATAACTTAAATTTTGATCATGTAATTTAAATATCCTTCTTAAACACTACACCCTAATAATTCCAAAATACTTTGGAGGAAAATCTTTCTTCCCCCTTCGGCTTTTGAATTATTCCTTTTTATGAAGCTGATAGACCATAAACTGTTGAGTTGCCTTAGCATCACGTTGGTGCTTTATTTTTTGGAAGTTATAAATAATCATCCTACAACATTGTAACCATTTGTGTGCAGAAGCTTAAAAATCAGTGTCAGATGACTGGTTCAATGCTGTTACTTGGGGATATTTCTGTATTTAACTGCCAACGTAATACAGACTTAAAGTACTCTCTGAAAACCTCTAGTTGTCTGGGTGATCGCTGTAGTTGATATTCACTAACCTACAGCAGTCAGCGTATATTTATGAACAGCAATTTTCAAATACTAGCCTACTAGAAGCTTCCTAGACCTTG